GCACAGATGTCAGAAATACATCAGAAATGTCCCCCCAGACTCATCAGAGAAAGCTGGAAGAAAGGACACAGTGCCATTAGAAGTTCCCTAGGGGGGGTATGCAGGACGTAAATCAGCAGCTATGAATCCAGAGTGGCTTGACCCACCACCGGTTCCGTTGGATTCTACAAGCAATGGGGAACATTCCTGGAGTTGCGCCCCCTTGCCCGCTTGGAGCACCGCGGTAGTTACGGTCCAACAGCAGCTGTCACTCTGATACTGGCCTGCCTATCGGCCAAGCCAAAACTTAAATCGACATTAAACCTACTTTTTACTCTGTGGTTCTTATATTACGAATTACGGAAGCTGGAAGTTGCCCCGACCGAAGACTGTTGTCAAAGCACGAAGAACTAGCGTCTCTGGACGAAAAATAATGCTAATAGACTACTGGTACTGCAGTTATTGTAATATTGCCGTTTCTCGGAATTTCTTATTGAGTAGTTGCTTTGTAAATTCGTCAAACCATTTACTCCCCATTATGTCACATTACACACAGCATTAATAGCATCGTAATAGTTGTTAGAACATAGGATTAGTGTACACTGAAATTAGCGTTAGACAAATAACGTTAGCACTGACCTCATTACGCGCACAACATAAGTGCTTCAGTTTTCGTTCTCGTAAACAACCTATTCTCATAGCCTAACGCTTTGGGATGCAATGGAAAGAGGAAATGCTATGGCAACGGATTGTTTTCGAGAGGATTTGAAACATAAATAACTTTCATCGAATTAACGACTCACTGACAGTGTGTTCAACAAAATATATTACATCCATTCACACGATAAATAAGCACACGACTTCCGGTTTATAGTTTCTACATACAAATTTAAGTACCATTCATAATGAATGGGGTGGGGGTTGGTGATGATTTTTATGGAGAAGCATGTACAATGTGAATGACCTCCCTACAATTCATGTACAAAGTAAGTGACACCCCTTTGCATATGTCATATTCAAAATCAATTAAACCCACGTACCCCACCCCATAATTTTAAGCATAATCTTTTTTATGTACAAATTTGCTTACCCCCCTAGTACATGTGTACAAAATTGATGACCTCCACCTTTCCAGAACAAAACAGGTGATCCCCCTTAAATTCATCATCACCTCACACTCCCCATCCCCCAAATATATTATGAACCCTTAGGCCAATATTCAATCCCCAAAATGTACAGTAAATTGGCATATTGGTTTGCACAATATATTTCCAAGTATCATTTGGGACCCCACCCCAATATGTACCATTTTTAAAGGCTGTCTCTTCTCAACACAAATAACCAGTATCTAAATGACAGATAACATTTTGAAAACACAAGAATATTATTTGAAATTGTGTTTCAGGTGTTGTCAAATAATGTAACTAAGCATGAGTGAAATACTGACATATTGTAAACACATTGAACCATTACTGGAGGTCTGAACTATCTGATGCCAGAAGCAAGGGGGTATTGGGTTCATTGTCTTTTAAGGTGGGAGCCTTTTAAATTTGAATACAAATATTTCACATTTGTTATTCCAGCATGTGTGAAGGGTTTGCAAATTACATCAAGGCTCATCACAATTATAATGGACTCACAGTGTCAGTGAACATAGTGTGTATTTGAAATACTGAAACAAGGAATAATTTAGCTTTTGAATGGTAGTCTAAATGGTACAATCGAGATTCTTTAATACTTATGATTATCCCTCATGTGTCAATTATCATCAGACAAAAATCAAGTCTGGGTTGTCATTTCAGTTTTTATTGTTCAACATATTATATTCTGCATGTATGGACATTCATAAATATAGACATACATACAGTAAAAAATGATGGTCTCCTTTGAAGAACCTTGATTAACACTTACATCAGATGCATGTTGATGTTTTCCACACTGACAATCATACTGTCAATATTACTGAATTGGTCATACAGAATCTGTTTTTCTCTGTTGCCTCAGACATGTTCATCCTGGAAAACATCAGTGGAGTATTACTATCCAAACTGATACAGGGTAATATTATCTCATGACTGCCAGTTATGAGAAAATGTATCATTATCAGATTTAAGTTACTATTGTGGAGAAAGACATGTCACACAATGACATGTGTCATATTCATTCGGATAGGTTAAAGGTGGAAAACATTATTCTTAACAAATGTTTCAACTATGGAGAAGCATAATTTAAATATGCTGACATGTTTTCCTTCTCTGAGTGGCATTTAGAAGTTGGTGTGATGAACAACAAGGAGAGTTCTGTGGATACTTCTTTAATATAATATGAGCGACATTGTGGTGTAGCTACTAACACCGTTAAAAGCAAGTAACTCTCCTCATTAATTTTTTTTCTATAGGGAGATATGTCTGATACAAAGAAGTGTGTTCAACAAGTACACCAGACATTATTCAGACAATTTCATACCAAAAGTATCATGTGTATTCTGGAATCACCTGGGCCTCATCTTTGTGGACAACAGGCACCTGTAGGGAGACGTAATATGATGCATTAAAGGTGAAAGTCAATTGTGTATTAGCATTCTTGGTAAACTTTTAAATTAACTCAACAATGAAGGGAGCAAAGGTGTTATTGTCAAACATAAACAACTTTGCAAACATGTATATAATGATGCTAACTTGATTTTTAAAAGGAAAAGCAAATGAAAGTTAACCCACAGGTTCACATGCAAATTTACTTGTGAAATGCCAATCACCTTAAAACATTGAAAGAATAAATTGGGGTCTGTTCCAATTTACTTGCCTACTCTAGCTACCTGTCATCAGGAGATATAATCATATGTGAAAATACCACATACATTAGAATTTTAAGTAGATTACTCAATGTAACTCAGTGTCAAACTGACAACTGTATTTAAGATGCATGACCAGGTGCTGTATGGGAGAAGACAAGCAGGTAAAATCAACAGGCCATATCAAGTGATGAATGCTTTGCTAATATATAATTGAAATACAGTTGAAAATAAATTCAATAGATTAACCTGAAATTAGAATCAAGAAGCTGTGTTCAAGTACAGTGGAAAATTTTGAAACAATGTTAATAAATAAAGCCTAACTACTACAGCTCTAAACTGTTTTATCATGTTTATAGCTAATCCTCAATAGGGTACTGATTTCAGGTGGACAACACTGAGAGTGAGATCAGCAAGAGCTACCTCGTCAGGCTTTTGTTTCATTCCTCGCTACTTCGAAGGATAGTCAACCACCATTTCAGCAAGTTTTGACCTCTCGGACACATTGAACCTCTATTGCAGCATCCCGAGGCACGGCAGCACATCTCAGGCATCGTAATATTGCTGCGCATTTGAAATCGACAATGCAACAAACTTTGAAGGCCATCATTAAGCCGGAAGTACACTTAGGACCGTAGTGATTGGCGCCATCTATTGGCGAAGCAGTAAAGGGAGATTACTGAGAAATGTTCCCCCTTTAAGCATGAGTCAGGATAAGGGAAAATATGTAATTTTCTGATTAAAATTGATATTTTATACTTATCCTGACTCATGAGGTCGACCCTCCCAACCTCCACTCATGGCACTCTGGATTTCCCTGTAGATCCGGGTGTCGGACTCATTTTCGGAGAGAGTGAGAGCATGTCTGATCATGTGACGGGTTTTGGCGCCAAATAGCAAAGGGAGGCTATTCGTGGGGTGAGTGATTTTACGTCCGCTTTTTTGAAGGGAGCTTCAAAAGGGGATTCAAGTGTTCCACTATAGTTCGCAAGAGGAAGGAGACAAGCAATTAAGCATGAGTCAGGATAAGTATAAAATATCAATTTTAATCAGAAAATTACATGATTCTCATCATTCATGGTAAACCAAACTATTCCAATACAAAGATCCATACTGTAACCAGATACATTTTGGTGGTATAACAATTTAAAGAAATGATGACATTGTATTAAATGAGAAAGCAGTGTCATAATAGCACATTGGATATTTTAATTAGTTCTTAGATTCCCATATTCTCCTGTTTGTGTAGATGGATGTTGTCTAATTTTGCACCATTATTAACAGAGTATCTTCAAATGTAATGAAATTACCGAAAAAGATTACATAATTTTAGTTAATGTCATGGCTTGTTTTATGTGCTTTGCGACGTAGGAGAAAGACAACATCCTCTTTTGACAGAACATGAAATGACTAATTTTACCATTGGAATAATGTAGATGAGCAGTTTGATAGTTTGACCATGTATCTTAATGTGGACAACACATGCACCTGTTTTGCATGAGTCTAACAAATCCTAAAGATTATTTCAATCTCACAAATATTTTGTCAGGATAGAACTTGTTCATAAGTATGTGCCTATTTCTCTTCATAATTAAACAATGAAAGATGGAATATATTGCTCATTTTGTATGAAGCTTGCAGAATAATACTGTATGGCATGACCAAAGGATGACATGACATGGTATATAGTTTTTGTACAATTCTTGTAGAAATACAGTGAACAGTTCAATATTTTTTCAACACACAATATATTATTAATGAAAATATTAATTGATTATATGAAGAAAACAAGAAAAGTAAATCATTAAACAGTTGTGACAAACACGCACCTGGCGAATCATTAGACATAATTTTATAGTCTGTAAAACGATGTAATAAAGATTCCATGACCATTGACCTTCATGGGAACTTATCAATACTGGATTTGTGTTCATTCTGCATATCCAATCACAGTTGTCCCTTTCTTCAACACACAGATAAGGCAAAGGTTTGGTCCCAGTGGGAGGGAAGCCAGCTGGTGCTGTAACTGATGTGTGCAAATCTGTGAAGTATTGATGATAAAGAATTTTGTCGCGTGACACCATTTTAAGATTTAAAATTGTGTCTTTATTAGTCAAGTATTCTTGAAAAAACATAAGCCACAAGACTGGGTCTTTGGGCTACTGGCTGAATTTTCCACCTTGGATGAGAGAATGTTTATAATTTACATGTTCCTTTCATATACTTACAGATCAAGATGCTGCCCACACCAGCCAAGTTTCACTACATCTTCAATTTGAGGGATTTATCTCGAATCTGGCAGGGTATGCTGACAATAGCTGGTGAGGAGTGCCAGTCTAAAGCTATGATACTATCTCTGTGGAAACATGAATGTACACGAGTCATAGCTGATAGGTAAGCTGTTAGATGAGGAAGATATTCTACTAGGCTGTGTCCACAAAGCAATAATAGTGCTTAGATGATTGAAACTGTCCAACTTTGATAGTCGTAAAAGAGACCCTGAAAAGCAAAAGTAGTAATAATTCTACAGCTTAGATTTTCTCTATGAGATTATTAGGCATTATTTACTTTATTCACTTGCTTTTGATTTTAAAGTATTTGAAATAACAAATACCTTTTGGGATGAAACTGCTTTCAAACAGATGTTTTATTCACAATATATGAGATGAAAATGTTTTCACAGCATATATCAACTAAATCTCATATTCAAAGTCTAAACAGGTTCTTCCCGAACACAAAATATCCTGTACACTCAGAAATTATGAATGTATGCACACTGAGGGTGCCACTGGACATAATCGATTATGGATGTTGGAATGAATGAAATTAATTATGTTGACTGTTTGCTGTTGGTGCAGTGATCATCCTGGAAATCTCTTTTCAATGCATGGGACTCCCAAAATATATTACTGTTTTCCCATGCACCTGCAGAAATAGAGACCAAGGTAAAATGAGTTATAAGCTGAGACTTTAAGCATACCTTAAAATATTTGTACAGATTCACCAATGCGGAAGACAAACAATGGTTTGATGGTGCCGTGACACAAGTGTTGCGAAACCAGGCAGGTGATGAAGCTGTGAACGAGATGGACCCTGAGCCCTACTTCGTGGACTTCCTCCGAGATGCACCTGAACCCACTGGAGAGGAGGAAGATGATGCTGCACTGGACGCACCCAAGGTCTATGAAAAGGTACATTCTGGGGAGATCCCAGGTTACATTCTGTTGCCATGCTTGTCGTTGCAAGATATATAGTAGATATACTGAACAATTGTCATTACCAGTAGTTGGTCTGTTGGAATTGTTTCCAAGTTACACTTATAGGGTGCTGCAGTGCTTCAGCCAGGCAAGCCACATTGCGCCATTCACACTAAAAAATATGCAATAGCACTTTTTTTTTCAATGCTAGAGAGCCCATTGGCACAACAATTAATATAATCCAAAGGTCTTCTATACCATGATTACCATGAATGGCAAAAGTTGCAACTGCACACATTTTAGTAGTTAAGGTGCCAATTGGCAACACTCAAAAGAATTCTGGCTGAAGTACTGGTGCTGTTGGACCTATCTGTCCACCATGATTACAGCGAGGTATAATGTTGGATTCTGATTTGTCAAGAGAGATTATTAATAAGGGGGCATAGGAGCCCTAGACATCTGAGGGGCTGTAATTTTCTGTGCACCATATATGTGCTTGTGTGTTTCACCTTGTAATATCTCAGACCTGTTTCACTTAGGGCAATCCTCAAATATCAAACTAGTGCAGCATTAATCCAAACTTGCACAAAAGAGATATTTTGGTGCAGTGATTGCTGGCTTTATCTTCAGATTCCCAGCTACAGTTTCCTGAATGACAAGCTACTGCAATATGTTGTGCAGTACAATGAAGTTGTGCGAGGTGGCCATTTGGATCTAGTCTTCTTTAAAGATGCCATGGTGCATCTTGTCAAGGTCGGGAGTTTCTCACATAACTTGATAATCACACTTGTTTGATACAGTCAGCTCTCGTTAATCCGACACTCATTAATCCGACAATCACGTTAATCCGACAAAAACTTAGGGAACCATTTAAAACAGTGATAATTACTCTCGTTAATCCGACATTCTCGCATTCCGACTCCGACACACCAATCTAGCAACTGATTATTGTAAATACATTGTAAAAACATTTGTTAATCCGACAATCAACACAGCCGGTCGGATGATCCGACCGTATACAAACAATCACACGTGAGTGCTAATTAGCGTGTGCCTTACTGGCTGCTTGACACCGGCGTCAGTGAACATCACACTTGTTAATTAGGTGATTATGTGATTATATATGTATGTTATGCCATCTATGAATGTTAATAAATGAAAACAAGTATGTATTGTTAGTATTTTTTATTTCTGGGAATATTTTTACATACGATGAAGATAACTAGATCTACCATTTCTGATATGCATGCAACAGTATGACGATCATGACATTTAGTAAACATTGATATTTTCACACAAATACATTAATCCGACATTTTCGTTAATCCGACATATTTCTCTGCAACCACAAGTGTTGGATTAACGAGAGTTGACTGTATATGTATACACAATATCACTGAGAGATAAGAAAAGATTACGGTTAAGCGTAAATGAAGAGTACTTATCCTTCGGTAGGGATTCCAGGTTAGAAATCATCCCCAGCAAGCTATGCTTGTCATAAGAAGTGAGTGAGTTTAGTTTTACGTCGCATTCAGCATATGGCGGTGGTCAGTAAATAACAGAGTCTGGACCAGACAATCCAGTGATCAAGAGCATGACCATCGATCTATGCAATTGGGATGCGATGACATATGTCAACCAAGTCGGTGATCCCGTTAGTGGCCTCTTATGACAAGCATGGGTTACTGAAGATCAATTCTAACCTGGATCTTCACAGGTCTGTCGTAAGAAGTGATTAAGTGGACTGCATGGTTGACAACTTAGCAACAAGGTTCATAGAGTGTGATTACTTCATGGTGAGGGATTCATTATAATTTATATCAATCAGTGAATATTCTCTTGATTATTTGCAGGCTGTCATCATATTGCGGCAGGTGTGCTTATTGCGACATTAAGTAGCATGTATTTGACGTGTTTTTAAGAATTAAATTATGAATGATAGACAATGAGAACCCTGAGTGAAAATCTCTTGCAGGGAAAGGCATGTTTTTCCCAACTTGTCCAAAGCAGGCAGGCAGTTTGAAATCCAGGATAAATTTATGGATGGTTATTATTCAGATTTCCCGTATCATCCGTACACCGAGAGGAGCAGCTCTTCTTGTTGGTGTGGGAGGTTCAGGGAAACAGTCTCTCACCAGACTGGCCTCCTTCATTGCCGGCTACCAGATCTTTCAGATCACCCTCACCAGGTGTGTGAAGTCTAGCAGTGCACTTTCAAAAACTTTCAAAATTCATGTTTGTCAGTTTGCCAGAGGATAGTAAATAGTTCCAAGGGCAATCAATTTTGCTAAAAATTGGAACTGACAGAACTTATTCATTTAAGACAAGCTACAAAGTGTGAGGACAAATAAAATATTGGTTACACTAGTCCTCAGGACTAGTTGGAAAAAGACCTTTACTTCTAAGGCTGCTCCACTAAGCTTGTCTAATGCTTTAATTTGTTCAAGATGTTCTATGACTTTTAACAATGGATAAGAGATTGATGAGAGAGTTATCCATATAGATATTCAGGGCATTGACAAATATTATGTTGAAAAATGATAATCCAAAGAATGAACCATGCTCAAATAGTCATGCCATATCTCAGCAAGATCATTAATAATGTTAAATCAATAAACTCAGATCCTTTAATCTGATATGGTACCTTTCTGTGTGAAGATGTGGCAGTCATATCCGGTGAATCCTAGCTGACTGACTGCTCAGATTTAAACAAAGGTTACTTAACTAATGCTCATCATTGTGCATAATTTGTGGAATGTTAGGTCATATCTTAACATTCAGTAGCACTGTGACATCATTCCATTGCAAGTGTCTTTATGTGGTTATATCTGTATTTTTATTTTTGTAAAGATAAACCTTTGTAAGATCATTATTTGCGTTAAATATCTAGTCCTGGGAGTGAAAATCTACATTGTCAAACATAAATGTTTATTAAATAGAAAAAGAGAAAACAATTTGGATATTCTGAAAAGAAGTCAACAATAGCTACAAAGTACAAAGAGACTCTTTAGAACACCACATCACTAAATCAACAGTATCTAAGTAGAAATTAGTACAAATTTCATGTAAATACCAGTCCAGACAAGAAGTGACTAGAGTACATGACTAATATGTCAATCCAGAGACCATATAATAGATTATATGGTCTCTGGTCAATCAAAACTGAAAGTATACAATAATATGTTGTTGCATGAATGTGTTTTCTTAATGTTACACCATAATGGTGTAACAAAATTCAGAAAACCATCAGTCTTGGAATAGTGGCAATATTGTTTTCTAACATCACTGCTGAAAAAAACAACAAATGTTGTGACTGAATTGTTGTAGTAGTTTTACCTTTGATGGGTAAAGGTTCTTGAGCCTGTTAGATGTCAGCTTTCTTAGATGATCCTGCTTCTCTTCTTTGCCAGCTCTTTTAGGATATTTAAACTTTAGAAAATATGTACACTTGATGGCAAGACATTTACTATAGATGCCATAGAACACAGAAATGATAATAGTAAGTATTTGAATTTTTGGTGGTATTTTTTCTTGAAATGTCTCACTTTTAAAACCCCCATTTCTTCCTAAAATTCAAACACTGTAAAAGATCTGATTTCAGTGAATTGACATAGTGCTTCCTTTTCTGTTACATGTATGTGTGTGTCGCCTTTAGATATATGGATATTGCAGCATTGCAACTTTCCTTCCTTTTGGTGATGTTTTATTTAATTTTTAACAATAACAATGCATGATATCAGGGGTGGAAATAACCAATTGCCCGACGCCCGAGTCCAGTGTTTTTTTCTGTCGGGCAAGCAAATTTGTATATCACACTGTACCGGTGTCCAGTTGACTTTCCAATGTTAATTATGTTCTTTATGTAAAAAATCAACAAGAAAACAGCTGGTATAGTGGAAGAATTATCAGGGCAGGTGATTTTACATGTGCCACTGTACCGGAGTACACCAGCAATTTTAAAGTTATTTCCACCCCTGGATATAATCTTCATTAATTTGTGACAATATAATTGTGATATGATGTATTGCTGTTGAACTCTTCACAAAGGCTATGAACAGTGGAAAAATTGAATGAACAAGTCAGTATTTGAAACCACAATTCTTATGTGCTGGGAGAATTCCTGACAATTTCCAGTGCAAGAATTCCTGACAATTCCACCTGTATCCATGCTCCTGTCTGCAATATATTAGGTTTTATACATGTCTAGTTGGTGAAATTGCAGACAAACCGTAGCGTTTTCACAGGAGGGCTTTAAGACAATTTGATTCTACTTTCAGCAACTAACTCCAAAGGTAATAGACATGTTTTTACTGATATCAGCTAGTTTGTCAGCTGCTCAACTGTCTCTCAACTGCTCTGATAACTGCATACTAATCTGTCCTCTTGTAGTGGTGGCCAAGACTTCCTGTACCTTTATGCTTGTCTGTATCTATCTACCGGTATATCTCTGGATTAGAACTGGGCCTAGATTTTCTGAAGCTCTCTTATCGCTAAGATAGTCATAAGTACAATACTTTAACATTAACTGCTGGATTGTACTAGGCGCTGGTCCCCAGCAACTTACACTGCTGGATTGTTGTACACCATATCAAGCACTGGATTGTGTGATGCTGACTGTTGTTTACAGGATGTCGTCATATATCTGGCAAAAGCACTTGCACGCACACTCACTAGCATTTATGCACACACTCAAACACCTTTGAATGTGTTGTTCTTTGAAAAAGGACCACCTTTGATCAATCACGTTTCAGCATGTCTTCTACCCCATAATGATTCCATGTTACAATTGGTCATCAGCAAACTGTGCTTGTGCTACAGTGCAACTTCATGGATTCATGACCACTGGCTCTATGTTAGAATATAGGAGTTACGATCATTGTAGCACTGAGATCGCTTTGTGCAAGTGGGCCATGGTGGTCATACCTCATGACTGAGTTGATAAGGTGTCAACATAATCTGATGGATAGTTACTTGTAACATTCACTGAATTTAGTCATCCCAGCTCAGTCTCCCCAGGCCACCTATGCACAGCTGGAATGTGTCATCAATGAAGTTACTTTCTGTCTATGTGTAATATAGACTAGTTCACAATTTCTACTCTAACTGTAGGAAAAAAGGTATCCTAATTCTCAGATGAGCTATTGAGTTGGCTGGGATGGCAGCTCTGTAACATCAGGCACAAGTGCTTCCACACTGAAATGTGATTGCTAGTTATTCCAGATAGATGCTGTATAAACATTTTTGAATGTTTTGAGTTTTTCAGTTGCAAGTCATAGGTAGCAGTAGCTGGTTTGAATATGCTGACATGGAACAACTCTATTAATTATATTTGCTGGCCGGATAGCTTTTGCTTCTATTAAAAAATGCATGTCAGTGTCTTGTAAAGATAATCACTTGGAAAATAGCAGCCTCACTCTAAACAAATTCTTCCCCTCTGGCACTGAATTTTGGTATGCCCTTGCACACTTAACAGTTATCCATCATTCTCCCCTGTGCTTTGTTCATTATGTCAGTGATTTTTCTCTGCATTGTTATAGTAATATTGTAATGATATGAATGTGTCGCAATACAATGAGTTTACGATACAGATTCCCATACAATGTGTCTCTGTTGTAGGACAGACATGTAGACTAAAGTTGACATTAAATGTTATTGATGCCTTTCAGGAAATGCTAGAGAATCTGCTTAAGCTGGTTGTTGAACAAATTTATGTTATTATACATGTGTTTTTATACCAATATATCTAATGTGACTGTCTTGTGACTTAAGGAGTTTCACTTTTCAACTGTACTCTTTTTATGTTTTCTCTTTAACATTTACTTCTTTAAAAACATGAATGGTAAAATCATGAAGTGTGTTATTATTTCCATAGTACAACATAAGAGTGTTACTGTGTTCTAGTTAATGCACAGTTGTATATATACTATTTGGAGAATATCACACTCTCATGATTATAGGTCATACAATGTGTCGAATCTGATGGATGACTTGAAGTTTCTGTACCGGGTAGCAGGAGGTAAAGGTCAAGGCATTACCTTTATCTTTACCGACAATGAGATCAAGGATGAATCCTTTTTGGAGTATCTAAACAATGTTCTCAGCTCTGGCGAGGTATGTGGACAAGTACATACACACACATCTGCATTCGGTAGTATTGCTAGTTCTTTTAATTTCAACTGGTGGCAGGGGACAGGAGGCCTGATAACACAGCACAATTTTCTGTGCAGTCTTGTTAATTACACAAATCCCAGATTCATCCTGATTATTTCTAGGTTTATCAGCTTCACAAGTAAGCAGGAAGACAACTTTATTGTCTATTTATCAGAAAATTTCTGATGGAGACCATGTTAATCTTTTCCCACCAAGAAAACCCAAACCCACAACTACACTCACACTGAATATGGCTCACTGTACTCTGTCAGTTGTCCCTGGATAACCACTAAGCAGAGCTCGATTTAGTGCCTTGTTACTTGCACTAGTGCAATCTAATATTTGGTAACCTAGCATGATCATGTCAGCTCATTTCTTCTTCTACCTTTAAAGAGAGGGAATAATGAAATCAATAATGAATGTAAATATTAGTAAACCAGTGCAACAACTGGAATTGGGATGGTGCAAGTCGATTATTTGTTTTTGTTGCACCTGGTGCAAGTAAGTTAACATTTCCTAAATCAAGCCCGGCTGAGATTTTTAATAGTGGAAGTTATATAAACTAACCTTTGATAGGTGTCCAACCTGTTTGCCCGTGATGAACTGGATGAGATCACCCAAGAACTGATATCTGTGATGAAGAAAGATCAGCCTCGGCGACCTCCCACCCAGGAGAACCTGTATGATTATTTCATATCTAGAGCCAGAAACAATCTACATACAGTGCTCTGTTTCTCACCAGTAAGTCATTTACTCCATGTGATTTCCAGGTAAAAACTGGTCATCTGCAATCAATGCTAATACAAAACACATGGATCAGATGGTCAGGCTTGGTGACTTCTTGGACTGTGTGTCATCTTACGTCGATCTTATTTGAATCATTGCACGCAATACTAAAGCCTGGTTTGTCGTACCCAGACTGATTTTTTTCTAAGTGGATGCTGTTATATAGCTGGAACACTGCTGATTGCTGACCTCTACTTTGAAGGTCCTTCTTGAAAAACGTTTTGTAGTGTCCATCTTGAAAAGTTGAAATGTCAGAAGTATGTGTTACTCAATATCATACTACCCTTAGATTACCTACTCGGTGTATACTTAGTAGATGTTGTAGTAAACAGACTATTTTTGTTTGTGCTTCAAACCTGCCGCCGCCATATGGCTGGAATATTGCTGAGTGCGGCGTAAAACTAAACTCATTCATTCATTCAAACCTGCCAGACCTACAAATTATAGCACTTTAATATCTATTAAGGTATTAAGGTGTTATTATAGTAAATTTAGGAGTATATTATTTTAAGGTCATTATTTTTGTTATAAATGGCATGTAAATGTAATTGTAAAGACCTGAAAAAAACTTGTAAAAGGCAGTGTAAACCAGTGCTCGATATGTGTTTAAACCATGTGTAGGTTGGTGAGAAGTTTCGCAACAGAGCCCTGAAGTTCCCTGGTCTGATATCTGGATGTACAATGGACTGGTTCAGCAAGTGGCCTCGGGATGCCCTTGTGGCTGTGTCTGGCCACTTCCTCAACACCTTCCCCATGGAGACGTCTGAGGACGTCAAGAAGCAGGTGGTGGACACTATGGGAGTCGTTCATGACAACGTTGCTTCAGTCTGTGTGGAATACTTCCAGAGGTGAGAGGGGTTGGGATATATCTTTCAAATAAAGTTTTAGCTTGTCCTGCTGGAAGTCCTTGTTTGCTACCCAACTGGACAAATTTGGGAAGCATGTTTTTAGTTTTCCCCATTGACATAATTCAAGATTCAAGATTCAGCACTAAACAAACATCATGCAGTCATCTTTCTCACTCACTTTATGCCATTTATAGTTTTATTCTGTTCAGAGATAAGAACATTAGCTGCACTCTATTGCAATGTTGATACCATCAATCTCCAACTATGATATAGATCTAGAGTAAGTACTAGCTTACCACAAAGATGTAGATGTAAGTGACAGATTCCTTGTCCCAGCATGGGAGACTTATCATTATGAGAGTTCTGCATGAGTCACTGAATTTTCTGGTCCCTTCTTGAATATTTACAGGCTACTGGCCCATAGCTGGTGATTAAACAAGAAACAAAGTTAACACTAACGTGTATATTTACATAGGTATCGGAGACAGTCACATGTAACGCCCAAATCGTACCTGTCCTTCCTGGATGGGTATAAGAATGTGTACAAGGAGAAACATTCAATCATTGGTGAGATGGCCAGCAGAATGAATACAGGACTGTCCAAGCTGATTGAGGCCAGTGAGTCTGTCGACAAACTCAGCAAGGAGCTAGTCGTCAAGGAGAAAGAACTGGAATTGGCCAACAAGAAGGCAGACAAGGTAACATGATTGTCTCAAGACCATCTCCAAACATAAGTTTGTTGCCTTCAAAATCAATGCTAGTCTAAACATCTAATCTGTGATCAAGATGGGTATAAATTAGTACTTTACGATTCACCCTTGAATTCTGTGAATCATGAATTCCATTTGTAAATCAGATTCACTAGAATTGAATATATTTTTATTTTTTTATGAAAGTGTGTTTTGTACTTGAACTTAACTATTACTTATAAGAGTAAGATCCGGTTTTTTGGCATCAAGGTGTTGGAAGAGGTGACAGTGAGTGCACAGGCTGCTGAGAAAGTCAAGGCTTCAGTGCAGAAGGTCAAGGACAAAGCGCAGAAGATTGTAGATGAGATTAATACCGAGAAATCGTTTGCTGAGGAGAAGCTGGAGGCAGCCAAACCTGCCCTGAAGGAGGCTGAGGTGGCACTGCAGGTGAGTGGGAAAACTGGGCGAATGAAAACCAGTATTCCAGTTGGTTCCTCTTGATCTAAACTGGGTGAGAACTGGGTCAAAACACCAGTAAAACTGTCACTGTCCATGAGCGAAGGTGAAGAAGTGAGTGAGTGAGTGAGTTTAGTTTACGCCCGACTCAGCAATATTCCAGCTATTGGCGGCGGTCTGTAAATAATCGAGTCTGGACCAGACAATCTAAACTGGTCTAGCATCGAGAACTGACATGTGTCAACCAAGTCAGCTTAAACTGACCACCATCCCGTTAGTCGCCTCTTACGACAAGATAGTCGCCTTTTTATGGCAAGCACATGGGTTGCTGAAGACCTATTCTACCCCGGATCTTCACGGGTCAAGGTGAAGATTGAGGGAAATACACCACTGAAAGGATACTAAACACGATATCAAAACTTAAGTCAACGGGGGTTTCTAGCCAAAGTATACGACAGAATAATGCGTCCAATAAAATGTGAAAAGCAGGCGTAGAAAGAGGTGAATGGTTTTGTATACAGCCAAGCAAGGAGCAGCATTATTCAAGCAGCAGTATACTTCAGGGTACCAGCTAGACACACGAAAGCCCCATGACATTTTATAATGCGCAAAGTGTACAGCGAATCAGGTCTATATACACTTGCATCCAGACTTATAAAATTGGTCAGTGTATGTTCCATACAAGTGGGATATTTGAGGTTACTAGGGTGCCTTCAGGAATCCAGTGACTCTTGCATTTTAAACAATTTCTTTAGAGGAGATAGTTTTTCATTTAGAATGTATTCCACCTTTACAAGTATTCACCTTTTGTGACTTTATTTGTATTTTCATTTTAAATATTGAGCACAGATTGTACAAAACACATCTGAAAAATAACTGGGGAAAAATAAGGACGAAAGAAAAACATTATTCAGTGATATCAAGAAACTTCTTGGGCATATATTATGCAATTTTCTCTTATTTATTTGCCCTGATGTGAATTTGTTTTGTGCCTCCCAACCCACAGACAATCAAGCCATCTGATATATCTACCGTGAAGAAACTTGGAAAGCCTCCTCATCTGATCATGAGGATCATGGACTGTGTGCTCATCCTGTTTGGGAAGAGGCTTGATATTGTACAACCAGATCCAGAGAGACCTTGTCCTAAGCCGTCATGGAGCGAGTCTCTCAAGGTACTTCACATCATGCTCATGAAAACCTTGAACAAAGTTTGTTTGTTACTTAAATTCAGCAATATTCCCGCTATGTTATGGTCGTGTGTAAATTATCAAGTCAGACGAGAGCATTGATTGAGATCACAATTTGTGCAGTTGTGAAATCATGACTTGCAATCAACTAAATCACCAAGAGTGACCACCCAGCCTATCGTACTTTTGTTCCTGGGAAATGTACTCTTTTGTAATCCTCATGAGACGTTGACCAGTTTGAATTACAGAATTCCATCACTATAAATGTATGATCAAGATTTGATTCTTTACCTGCCGTCCTATAGCTGAAATATTGTTGAGTATAAATTGGTCTCTCTTTTTCCGTAGATCTTATTGTAAAGTTATGTGTTTTTATTAGGTGAGCTAAAGAGGCCATATGGAAATTACTAGACACAATATAATGGCTATTCTCTCTGCAATGGTGTTATGAATAGTTTTTGACTGTCTTGTTATCCATTCATAATCAGTTGTAGTTATCTTTGCAGGTGATGTATTGAACATATAATTCAGTCATCATTAGTGAGTGAGTTTAGTTTTACGTCGCACTCAGCAATATTCCAGCTATATGGCAGCCAGTCATCATTAAGCCCTTTGAGTCTACTAGCCTAATTACATTATTTACTTTTGATATGGGAATGGAGATCATCCTTCTGTCCATATCTCAATGGAGACAAATTATATTTTAACTATTCAAGTTAGAAAAATACAATTTTACTCACTGATGTTGCTAGTCGCAAGCTCAAACTGAGTTTATAAATTCGTGTCATAAATTGATTCCTGGTATTTACAGAGGTTAAATATAAAAGTGTTTGCTAGCTTTGCAAAATGAGTAAGTGTCATTAACTTGTGAGGTGAGAAAAAAGTTGATAACTTGAATACTGATGGATAGATTACAGTTACCTCTTAAAGAGGTCATGACAGTAAAACCATTTAATCATCAAAAACTGCAGTAATCACCTAGCTGGGGTAGAACTTGGTTTCTAGAGAGAAACCTTCAACAATTACAACAATTTCACATAAAAGTGAGTAGAAAACTCCAACATGAACGTCATGCGGTCATTGTTGGACCATGCAGAGGGTACAGGTTTTAATACATTTAATACACCTAATTATTTGATTACTTTGGTAGAGTTCATGGAATTCCATATTGAACATGTATGTAGTATGCATATGTAAGCTGCATTAAACTGCTCCAGGATTAATGGCAGTTACTATTTACAGCACTAAAAATATATGAGGCAGTTAACTTCCTCTTTCTGGATGTTACGTAACATTGTGTTATAACAAATCTGTATTTCATATGAACACAAAGTATATTTACTGACAATTCATTCATGAACAAAAGGACATATCGACATGAGATGCTGAAAGAACCCAAAGCCGAACTACAAAGTTAACATATGGCAAATGGAAGGTTACACTCAAAGGGCTATGTCAGTGCAGGCTCTGTTATTTGTTGCTAGAATATTTTGTTTGTTGTTTAATTAATGTCACACTCCACAATATTCCAGCAAGGTGATGTCAGTCTGTAAATAACTGAATCCAGACCAGACAACCAACAATCCAGTGACAGACTTATGTATATGATGTCATCATTTAATCCCCATGTGGGAATGGAACAAACACACAAGGGGATCTTGTAAACTGCCCAAAGTAAATCAAGTCAAAAACATTGGTGTCTGGCCATTTTACTTGTCATATCTGTTAGGTTGAGAACTAAAGATTTAGACAATCCCATTATTCAAATAATGTGGCAGTTATTCTGAAGGACTCCCCGTATTTCCCAAACACTCATGTTTACAAAAAGATCAGGTTGGATCAGAAATGTGATTAATCAATATTAGGAAGGTAAAAAAAATATTTCGAGACATAATTCTCAACAAAAATGGATGTATTTCGACTGAATGTAATTTTTAGGTAGGTTATAGGAACAGAAGTTAAATGTGATGATAAACTTTATTTGTCAAATGTGACATAGTCGGACATTTGTTTCTCATAAATTTAACTGGTATTGATTGAATTTAAACAAAACTGAACTTATATAAATAATATTAGGGATGGCGTGGAAGGTAAGTGGTTATAATTTTTGCTCATGACACCTAAGCCTTGGTATTATTCCCCACATGGTTACAATGTTGGAAGCCTATTTCTGGTGTCCTGTGCTGTAATATTGCAGGAATGTCACTAACAATTTTAGTACTACTGTATGCACTACTCCTACTTGGCAAGCATTATTTAATGACACAATTTGAGACAAATACAGCTCTTAGATCTGTTGTGACATCAAATATCTGTAATGATTGTTAATAACCTACCTTGTTTGGAGGTCTATGTTTGTATTATATGTTTACAATCTGCATCTATTAACACTTTCATGGAAAAGAATGCCCTTATTGTTAAGAAAGCATTGTGGTATTGCTGAAAGGAATATAAAGCCAAAATACTTTTTTCATTCACTGCCTTTGAAATTCCCAATATTTCACCTGAGCTACAGAGCCACATGGCTTTATGTTTCATAGAATACATCTGAAAATAAATGTTCTGTTGTTTGCAGTTAATGAGTGGATCAGGTTTTCTGACCAGCTTGCAGACCTTTGTTAAAGACACCATCACAGGCGAGACTGTAGAGTTGTTGCAGCCGTATTTGACAATGGAAGACTATGCTTTAGAGACAGCTAAGAAAGTGTGCAGCAATGTGGCTGGTCTGTTGTCCTGGACTACAGCTATGGCTTTCTTCTATGGTATCAACAAGGAAGTTTTGCCACTGAAGGTGGGTTTTTCACAAGCAGTGGAGCTGAACTTTGGCCACAACACAAATCTAGATAAATATCTTTTTCTTGTTTGGTTGTGTATGTTCAAGTTTTAAATGTTATGTTTGTTTCAGGCTAACCTGGCCAAGCAGGCAGGTCGGTTAGATATTGCCACAAAAGAGCTGGACAATGCCCAAGCACAGCTGGATGAAAAGCAGAAGGAATTGGATGTGGTGCAGGCACTGTATGATTCAGCCATGAAAGAAAAACAGGTAACATAACAAAGTTTCCAGTTTTCTTCATTACCGCTGCAGTCAGTGAAGCAAAGTGAAATGACTCATTGAACCTCTACCTCTTCATTAGGCCTGTTCTTATAACAAAGTGGCTGTAATCGTCGTCGTAAACATCCAGGCAGGTGAACTGCTAACTTGTAAGATCGTCCTGACAGGGCACTGATGACCTGAAAAATACTTTCGTGAAACTGTATCTCATAGATAAGAACCCCTTCCAGAGACTGCTTTTTTTGGTCCTCAAAATTCAGCTTATCTATGGGAATATACGGTAAGCAACCAGATCGTAATGTCATATATCGGTTCATACCATATTTGATTGAGCCACCTGCTCCAATAAGTTCAATCCGAATAGCATGGTGAATATAAAGTGTTGTCATACTTGAGCTATATTAAAATTGCCGCATTTGTAAGTGAAATAATCCATTTTCAGGGTGGCTAAGTTACAAGAGGTTTGTTGCTATCAAGTTTAATTTAGGTTATTTAAGCTTCTTCTTATAGATTTTGCGATAACCAATCGATTAGAAGTTTGTTTTGTCATAAGTTTTTAGAAAACACTAGCTTGGTAGTTAAAAGGCCAGATAATTGCAAACAATATCAAGTATACCAAACCAGCGTTTGAAATAACCACCGGCCCGGAGGCCCAGCGCCGGTTGTTATTGTATCGAGCAGGCAGTTTCAAATATTTGCAGGCCCTTGTGACCTTCAGTAAATTATCTGTCAGGATTTTTTTCGACTGGAATCTTTCCCATATTTGTTTCTTTATTAACGTTCAGGAATCCATGATCCATCATGTTACAATAACTTACAGTTTCACTTCCTGGTATTTCAGCGCTTTACGTGTAGGAATGTCAACAACAGTCTTTAACAAATAAAAACTTCTCTGTGTGCAATAGGTTTTCGCTAATTAATTTTGTAGAAACACTGTTAAACTGAGTACAATGTAGTCTGTTTTATTTTATTTTTTGGGGTTTGACTGTTAAAAACTTGGCCTGCAGATTTCATTCAGGGCCTGTAGATTTTAAAGCCTGCAGGTGGCAGCAAGCCCTGATGGCCAACTGGCAAATTAAAGTATTGCAAACACTGTACCAAACTGATTAAAATATGAACATGGATAGGTGTATTGCCTTCAGATATACATTTGAGTTTGACAACCATATCCTAATTACACAAGAAACTACTTGAGTGGAATGAATTACTAGTCCCACGGATACCTAAATATCAATATTTTCTCTTTTGGGTAAGAACTGGATCATACGTTATTCAGTAACTGAATTATATTGCTGCAGTATTTCTGGTTTTATTTTGCCATGGCTGTCATTTTGTAACTATTTCAAAAGTACAAAGAATTTTGTATGAGTTTGAGTTCTAAAGACATCCAGAAGTCCATGAATGATATGTCGATGTACATATATAGATACTTGGGGAATCCATAATCAAAGACAAAGTTTATGTGTGTACTATAGTTTCTTGTGTTCAGTGCACACTCTATTTTCCAAAACACATACCTCTGCAGAGAGGGGTGTGTGCATTATACAAACAAACAAAGGATATTACCGAAAACATTCAGCCATCAGTGGGAGTTTGTTACCACCATGTCCTACTCTAACTCCTATAGAGAGACTCAACTGATAACTGAGATTGCACTTAACCAGTAATTATTGACAAGTAATGATATAACCTACTGTATGAGTAAAAAATGTTTTTAAAATGTATTTTATACCTGTACAAATAGCACTCTGCTTGTTATTATTGACTAGTAATATATTACATCAGTGGACAATTTAAAAATATGTATGGGTTGGTTTTTTTGGAGTTGAACGTAAATGTCAGAATTACAGTTTTAAAACGATACTATATTGAATCTGAATGGTTAATGATGTTATTTGTTGTTGGAATATAGGAACTGATGGATGATGCGGAGTCATGTCGAAGGAGAATGGTTGCAGCCTCAACTCTTATTGGAGGTCTTGGAGGAGAAAAGACCAGATGGACATCTCAAAGCAAAGAGTTCAAGGCTCAAATTGACAGGCAAGTCACTTGTATAGAGTTAGAATGTTTGAATAGAATTAAAAAGTAGAGGTGTCCATGTTCTATCCCTAATATTAGTAGCTAAAGGTTTTTGTTCTCAAGGTTCTAAGTACTTCAGCATTCAGAAACTCAAGGACCCCTTAATTTGAACATTGAATACGAAACTACTTTGCCTTTAGTCTTATTTTGAAGTGGCAGGCAGTATTATAAGTACAGAGGTTATTCAAACTAGAAAAATGCCAGAATTCAATCTTGGTCAGTGACAAGTGTTTTACAAAGTGCTTGAAAAGTGCTTCCATGACTGAACACTAACACAAATCTGAGATAGTACTGTTTCCTTGAAGATTTTACTATAGTCCGTTTGGCTCAAAAGCGGACCGATGAACTGCAATCTAACTCAAAAGCTAATAAACATATAATACTAAATGAAACGCTGATCATAATCAAAACATCAGACCAACTCTGTGATTTGTTTGCAGAATTTATGTCCTAAAATTAAAAAGTTGTTTAACAAACTATCATTAAAATTTTGACACAGTTCACTATTTGTTACGAGGGAGGAGTGCAGAGAAAGGGGCAGCCATATTTTATGTTTTTTAGTTTTTGAGTTAGATTGCAATTCATCGGTCAGCTTTTGAGCTAAATGGACTATACTTACTAATTATTTAGTTATAAAAGTGATAACATTTGAGTTCAGTGTCCTTTTAGACCAAACATAAGGTGCGGAAGTAAGTATTTTGTTGTAACATAATTTACTCAAATATAACTGAAAAACAAGAAATGATGCTAACCAATTAATTTTCGTGATTTGTAGGTTGTGAATTATGATTTCTACAACTGATTTCCAACTTTTGTCAGGTTACGTGTTTGCCAAACCATTAATAAAATCTTAGAAGCTTGACAACTTGAACTGCCGTGAACTGATGCAGGGGATATAGGTTTTGCCTATGTTTTACGGACAAGTTGGTTTTTTTATAACCAGAATGGGTATAAAAGTCTTTGCCAAATACTTTCGAATCTACTAGTCTGAACCTATATTTGGCCATGAATTGAGTAGATGGTAGTCTTATCAAGTAACTTTGAGCAAAACTAAAAAAATGTCTGAAAGGAATTGACATATTTCACATCAAGTTTTTGAAAGGCATTTAGAAGTTTAGAACATGAATACATGACACGTGGGGTGTGTTGATGTAGAAAGATAACAACATAGTAATTATGTTGTTATCTTTGTACATCAAGACACCCCACCCCCACTCTTGGATTTGTCATTACAATACATTGTTATCTTTGTGCATTAATCCAATCTAATTGGCTTTGTAATTATATTGTTATCTTTGTACATTCTCCCTCCTTGCATTGTGTAAACATGTTTTAATCTAGATACATATTCACTCTTTGTACTGAGTCTGCATTCACCTGATGAAGGAGAGAGAATTAGCTCTGAAACATTGTGTAAAGAATAAAAAAGAAGTTGTATCCATAAAACGTGTCATGTATTCATATTTGACATCACTGGTGAGTGATGACATGTTTAGGTATGGATTACGACGGCAAAATATTGTATGAGCAAATTACAACTTTATTTCAAAGCAATAGTTATTCATGGTATTATCAACGTAACATTTTTCATATCGATAATCATTCATAATTCTTCTTGTCAATGACATTTCCGATTATCAACCTTCTTAGCCAGCACAAACCATGACTATCAGTTTTCATTCCACATTCTCCATTTAGTCCATTAAGGCATCTTGTAAAACAGTACAGAAATCCTAAAACATGGACAGATTTAACACCTACAGTTATTTCACATATGAATATAACTAGCACTTGCATGTCCCTGGGAGAGTTTGCTTGATGATATACCTAATGCTAATTAATATATCTGTTCATAACCTGTTCTTTCAGACTTGTCGGGGATGTGGTTCTGTGCACAGGCTTTCTTTCCTACTCAGGGCCATTCAACCAAGAATTCCGCACCAAACTGCTGACCAACTGGCAGAAAGAGATGTACAAGAGGAAGATTCCATTCACTCACGACTTGAATGTCACCTCCATGCTGGTTGACACCGCTACTGTAAGTACAGCTATATAACGTCTTTATTGTATTTACATCACGTTTGGATCTTTGTATCTACAGCATGTATATATCCAACCTACAGCACGTCTGTATCCCATCTAAATCACAGCTGACACTCTATATATTTAGGGGATAACTACAGTGATTTTGAAGCCTATAAAAATCAGTAGGACAAATGTCCTGAGTGGGTGTCTGGCTATAGGCCATTGACCTAAAGCTCTTTTTGACATTTTTTAAATCCCAATGCCATCATATAACTAAATTGTTAATGACATTTAATGTTGCAACTTGGACTCTAGATATACAGCAAAATTAAAAGATCAAATCCCACTGTTGATAAATATGAAATTTATTTTTCTAATATTTTTCAAATAATACAACTACAACTTAAATAAATTGAATTTTTAATGAAAATGCAAGCATTTATAATGTCCAGAAATATCACAAATGAAGCAAAAACTATGGCGATTTTTTTCCATTTGTGACATGTCATAACATCCCCGTGCCTTTTTCTTTTTCAGAAAATTATTATATAAAGATTTCTTAAATAATATGTATGGTTGCCTATTTCCTAATATCAGTGGCTTTCCGCTCGGTAAAATGACACAACAACGGAAAATACCTCCGTTTTCGAAGCTTCGTATGCATAACATGCGAGGCGAATCGTTTGATGGCGGGTATCGTTCAAAAGCTCTGAACATCAACAATATCACTATACCTTTGCTGAGAGTATTTTCACAGTTGTAAGAAGCGATTTTATTGGATAAAGATTGGTTTCTAATGACGCTTTTTCGCCACAGTCTGCTATAAGGGTCATGATTGGTCAAAATCAGACACGTGACATAAGGCAGCCAATCATATTACGGCAATCGATACCGTCCTCGTAAATGAAAACTTTTAGATTTAGATGAAAGTTTTGGGTAAAATGATGCTATTCTGAACATATTAAGCACGAAATCGCTATCTATACGTAAATTATGGAACTTATTGGACGTATCGTGCTAGGTTATGACCTGTGACAAAAATGCTTCATGCATATATTTTCGCATTAAACATCGTATCCAAGCGTGAAGATTGAGGCGGCGAAAGCCGAGATGTCACTTGTCAGTGACTTGACTTACATTACATGATCGCACAAAAAGATGGAAATAGTAATTTTATATGTACGTTTGACAACTTTTATGAATGCTATTGTTGATTTTATTCATTAGTTTATTCAATTTGTTTAATGATTTCCACGAAAAATTGTTACATGGGGGTGGGGTCGGGAAACCCCGTTTCTGATTGTCCAGTGCTTAAAATAGCAGCCAATCGCGCAATCCATTACATGTACATTTGGCAGCTTATTTTGATAAAAAATGGATGCGTAAATTATACATACACGCCGCGGAAACATGATCAAGATTTCGTGGTTAGCTTTTGATGAATTTGTAAATGATAATGTTCGTAATTTATTAGGTCCAATATGTGAAAATAACATCGAAATTATCGATCGGCCCGACTGTCCTAATTAATAAGAAAGTAGTCGGTCATTTGAAAATGTTATCGGACTATGACCGAAGGCCGATGACAATCTGAAACCCTGAACTATATAACCACCGGTATACGTCCCCAATTCGTCAAACACAGTACAGTTATCCCCATTCTAATTCAACTCGTTTTACGCTGTTTTTTCGTGAAAGAAATTCATTATTTAAACCAGGTCAAAGTTCCTCTAGGTCAAAGGTTAATCATATCACTCCTTGAACTTACACCATCGCCAGAAAAAGTAGTTCCCTTTTCAAACTACACAGGTTTATTATGTGCACACAGACTAAATCTAACATTGATGAATTGATCATAGTATTATAGATAAAATGGCCGAAATTATGATGAAACCGCCCTCTAGTTACAGAAATGAGCGACCGGCTGATTCCTCAACTACGGGCCATTATCAATTCTGTTGTCAAATGACTTCACGCTCCATAATGACGTCATAATCTTGTTTCATGATCTAACAGTAATGGGTCAACAGCCCGTTGCGAGTAAGTTGTTTGAACTTAAATTTAAATTTATGATACTGTTTTGTCTTTTTTAACATAAATTCCACCCAGACGATCTCTGTAGTGTGGCGGGGGCGGTTGAGGATGCGCCCTATACAGCAAGCTTTGGCTCGGCTGTGGGCTCACACGGAGGATCTGGAGCGCAGTCTCACAGTCCCCGAGTGGTTGACACCTCACCTTCAGTGGTGGACAAATGTCGGGAATCTCACCAGGGGGATCCCCTTGGAAATCCCGACGCCAGCTCTCACAGTTCAGACCGATGCGTCCCTCACGGGCTGGGGGGGTGTTGTGGGCAGTCTGTCGGCGTCTGGACTCTGGTCCGAAGCCGAAGCCCGCCTTCACATCAGCGTGTTGGAACTGAGAGCTGTGCGGTTGGTTTTCGCGCTTCAGAGAGCATGTCCGTGGCCAGGTAGTCCGTCTTCAGTTGGACAACCAGGCGGCCATGTTGTACATCCTGAAGCAGGGCGACACGGTGTCCCCAGCGCTCCCTCCGGAGGCGTGGGACTTTCTCCTCTGGTGCGACCAGTGCGACTGTCAGGTACTCCCTGTTTATCTCCGGGGCTGGAACGCGTCGCGAGCAGATGTGCTCTCTCGCCCGGATCCTGGCCCGCTGCAATGGATGCTCGACAGGCAGATTTTCAGAGTAATCTCCCCGGTTATGCAGATTCGTTCCAGGTGGATCTGTTTGCGTCGGCGGGACGCATCAGACACCCGTGTTCTGCTCGAATACCCGGACCCAGGGCGTTGGCTGCCAGCGCCTTCCTGCTGGATTGGACGGGCAAAGTGCTCTGGGCGTTCCCACCGTTACCACTCATTCCCCGTGTCCTTTCACAGCTGTCCACCCAGCCAGCTCGGCTGCTTGTGCTACTGGCACCGCTTTAGGCCGTCACAGAGCTGGTTTCGGTAATTCTGAGGTTTCTGGCTCAGCCTCCTGTTCTATTACCTTTCACGACCCGGACATTCTCACTCAGAGCGGGCCCACCCAAATCCACAGTTCAGTGGGTGGCTTGGCCTCTGTCAGGTCTAGCCTCGAGGCACGAAATTCCTGCAGCAGTTGCAGACACAATTCTGGCCGGCCGGGATTCGACAAACGTTCAGTGCGAGGATAGGTGGTCCCGCTATGCGTGCTGGTGTTCAGATAGGGGATTGCAGATCCCTTTTCTGCGGATTTAGTCCAGTATTGGAGTTTTGCAAGCTTCGTTTGGAAGAAGGCCTGGCGGCCGACCATTCGTGGCTACTCCACCGCTATTTCCACTTTTCACACCCCTGTCGATGGTGCTCTTCTGGGGCAGCACCCTCGTCACAGCGCTTTCTTGCTGGCGGCGGAACGATTCGACCTGCTCTCAGGCGAACCAGTCCACCTTGGGATTAGTCAATGCGTGCTCGATTGGCTGTCCTACTTTCTCACACCTATCGGCTATTTCCATTCAGTTGTTAACTTGGGCGGCTGTTTTCTGGTGGCGGTAACATCTGGGCGTAGGGTCGGGATTTACATGCTATGTCGTCCGACCGGCTGACTGTGTTTCACACTGATCGTGTCAGCATTAAGCCTCCCAGATACTTACCGACCGAAGGTCGATCGCTTTCCATGTGACAGCTCCTATCGAACTTCCTCTTACCCAGCCTTCCACATCGGGGACCACTCCTACGAGCACTCACCCGTTGGATGTCCGTAAGGCGCTCAAAGTCTATATCAAAGCGAAGCGCGGGGAATGCCGGTACCCGGGTACCCAGCTGTTCTGTTACGGTGGTGGGAAGGCTGGTCTGCCAGCGAGCAAGCAGACTTTGTCTCGCTGGCTGGTTTCGCGGTATTTGTGCGGCTTATCAGGCTAAGGGCAAGCCTCCCCTGAGGGGTTGAAGGCTCACTTCGGTCAGGGCAGTAGCCGCATCAAAAGCTTTTGCATCGGCACTCCCCATTGAAGAGATCTGCTCTGCCGCTATTTGGAGCCGGCCAAGCACGTTTATACGGCATTACCAGCTCGATACACATTCCCGTAATCGTGCGAGCTTTTGGCGTTCTGTTCTCCAGTGGACAGTGTCCTGCCACCCTGACCGAGTGAGTCTTGGTTTATTGGTTTGTTTATTGACGCTGCTGTACAATAATTGCGTATTATTGACATGTCTGCTACTGTGAGTTAAACTACCCCCTTTCGATTCTCTCAGGAGTAATTAGTCGATTGTGAGCGGTATTGACATTCCTCCCTACGGTGCTCACTAATCGACACTAGGTGGGTGGGGTTTTGTTGACATTCGTACATGTGCGATTGCCTATGCTAAACGTATGGAGGTCGTCTTTGAGCACAAATCCTCCCTGTCAGTTCCCCTCCCATAATGCCTCTCGCGGAAGCGCAACTGGGACAAGTGACAGGTGAGTGTTATGGCGTCTGTTCAATTTTTTTCCATGATACGATCGCTATATTTTGTGTGTGCTTGGACAGAATTCCCTCCTCCCTGGCCTCCGGTCTTTGGGAGTCTGTGTTTATGCATAATATTACCCCAAGGGCGATCTCTGTGAAGAAGAATTAACCAAACCTGAAGGGTTTTCAATTCTTCAAGAGAGTAGATCTTTGGGTAGGGCCTCCCACCTCCCGCAATTCTTTTCACTGATATATTCAGCAGAAGGAATGATGATACGGGTCTAGGAGCTTACCCAGTTGGTGCGCATGCGTAACGGGAGGTAACTCCGTGAGGTAGGGGCCGTATAATAAATAAAAGAGTTTATTTATTGTACAATCTTTTTATTCAAAAAACATTGATACAACTGTCACAGGACATTTTCAGCTTGGAAAATGCTTAATATGTACTCCAAGGACGACTCTCTTCGAAGAATTGAAAACCTCTTCAGGTTTGGTTAAGTTTGTTCAAACTTGCCTCTGTTCACCCAGCAGAAAATGGGTACCTGGTGGGATAAGTCATGTGACTACTAACCTTCTAGCACCTCACAGGCAGCTTGGGTTATACAGGGTAATACTAATCAGATTGTTTGGGCGCTTTGAGCGTGCCCCTCTGTGGTGCAGAATTAACACATTACAAATGCCCTTATTATTTACAACAAGATGTAAGGGATGTTTGTGATTATATGTATAAGAAACTTTGTCTAAATTTCAATTTGGTATCAGTTGTTGTCTAAATAACAGTTTTAATTAGGTAATAGAGATGAAATATAGCCGTGAAATATCATGCCCCAGACAAATAGTTACCACTACAAAACTATATTGATTTTTGGTGGAACAAAATACTCCTGAATATTCTTTTTTCAGATTGGAGAGTGGAATATCCAGGGTTTGCCCAATGATGACCTGTCAGTACAGAACGGCATCATCACAACAAAGGCCACCCGCTACCCACTGCTGATTGATCCACAGGGACAGGGCAAGAGCTGGATCAAAAACAGGGAGAAAGATCATGACCTGCAGGCAAGTTCAGCTGTAGCAAGACAAGCAGTGGTTTCTTCTGTTTTCCTGAGTTGTTTTCACATTCCACTTCCTGGCATTGTAACTCAGTATGAACCTCACTGACCTATGTTCAGCATGAAAATTCTTGAAAGACTGGATTTTTGCACAAACCACTCCAGAAAAAGAACACAAGTTGTGTACCGCTTTAGACAGTATTGCTTTAATTGGTGATTGGATGTGTAATTGAAAGTGAACGATTTCTTAGATGTATAGCCTCAAAGGGATTTTGGATTGGAATTGGTCCCCAAAACCTATACTTTTCAAAAGAGATGATTGGACCCATACATGGTCAGACTTTCTTGATAGTTTGTCAGAACAACAAATTGTGTGGCCAGGAATATATTATTTACAGACTGCAGCCATTTAGCTGGATAGTTAGGACAAATCTAGGGACATGATCAGGTTGATCCAACCGAGGATTATAGATTTCTGTGTTACTCAAGGGATGCAACTTTGTGCAGCGGATCAGAGACAACAAAGTTGACTGGACCATCCATGGTCTCCATTGTCCCTCTCATCTGCAGTCCAGTGTTCATGCTGCTAATAATTTTCTTTGTTTCTTCATTACTAAACTAAAGGGCACATAAAGTATTTACAATATGAAATGCAGCCACAACGTATATATTTTCCAGTTAATTTTTGTTTTAAACACAATGAAATCAATATGTTGCTCAGACTGATTACTCCTACAGGTGACGTCCCTCAATCACAAATATTTCCGAACTCATTTAGAAGATGCACTGTCCTTGGGGCGACCTCTGTTGTTGGAGGATGTGGAGGAAGACCTTGACCCTGCCCTAGATAATGTTCTTGAGAAGAACTTCATCAAATCTGGATCTACTTTCAAGGTATGTCCACACATAGGAAGCATTTTGTGTGACATGTTAACTAAATGTAAATGTTTAATAAGTATGACATTTATTTTAAATTGATTTTCTACTTGAGGCCATTAACATGACAATCTGACAATCGTAAGGATGTATGAAAGACAAATTACAAGAGTAAGGTATTGAATTTAAAACATGAAATGTCTTAAAGAGGCTATACCCTTATACTTATCAGTTCATGTTGTAATAGTTTATTGTGCTGAGCATCAGATGATTAAAGCATCTGACCTCACTAAAAGTACAACCTATAGGCTGCATAGTCAGTTGCACATGTATACTATTTAGTAGCCCCGGAGAGAGGTGAGGTGAGAAGGTTTAATGTCCTATTCAAGATTATTTGCACTTTTAAAGCGAAGCACTTCATGGTGCAAGCTCACTGAGATGTCCCAAACTGTATACTGTATTGGTCCAAGCATTGTGCTTGGTAATGAACAAGAAGTACTGTCTCTTGAAGTCTCTGGCATGATTGGAAGAGGGATCGAACTTTCCAGGGGGACACAACTATATCGATCCATTACACCATCCCAGAGAAGAGTGTCAGATTAATTACACACCTCCATGATATAGCTGAAACATTGATGACTAAGAGATTTATCATAGATTCCAAACTGAGTGCCCTTGGAATGAAGCATTGGTGAGAAATAATTACTTTGTGCAGAATTTGGATTGTCTTTGAAAGTTCATATTTTTCTAAATTCAGAGGACTTTGACTGCATTCGATGCTGGAATATAAAGCTAAATTTTATGATTCTTCCTTCCTCGTTGTTGGTCCTACTTACAGTGACATGCAAAGCCATAAGATGAATGTTAAAATGATTGGGAAATGAAGAGCTGAATATTGGTCAATGAGTAACAGTAGATATATGCTGAGGATAAATGATCAAATAACTATTCAGGGGTTTTCATGTTGTGAGATTTAGATTTTATGTACTTCTTTAAATTAAAGGATATCTATATTACCAAATCCATTTGCAGTTGTTGATGTTGTAAGGTACTGCTTTTCACATTACAGAATACAAATGTACTGCTTCATGTTTCAAAGACTGAGACAAAGCACTGTAAAAGATAAATAATAGCCATTATTCTAATGTCTGTTGAAATGATTTTTTTGTTTTTATTTTATAATATTACAATGCTTGATTTAATGCATCAAAAGATTAATATTTTAGTTGATATGAGATCACATTTGGATGAGAACTAAAATTTAATTTACCCTTATCTTTTGTTCAGCATAATCAGAGACCATATAATAGATGAATATTATATGGTCTCTGGTAAATTAAATTATTTTCTTTAACATGGAATTCTTTTTTATCTTTTCTTGAACTTACATGTGTGCAAAATGCTTTATTTATTTTCCTATTGTGGAAGTAAAGGCATACATGAAGCAAATGTATTGTTGACAGTTGACACAGAAGATGCCACTGGTCATATTTCGAACTGTTCTGCAGCTCATGTTGTACTGGAGGTTTATGTAAAAATACTAGATTTTAGGAGAAAACAATTAGTTCCACCAGCTTTTCACTTGCCTTGAACCATCAGCTTAGTGTCCGTTACTGATGCTGAGAATACTGTGCATGTTTCAGGTGAAGGTTGGGGACAAGGAAGTTGATGTGATGAAAGGATTTTATCTCTACATCACCACAAAGCTTCCCAATCCATCATACACTCCTGAAGTAAGTAATTGTTACAAATATAGTGTTGTGTTGAAATACAGGTGGAACAAGAACCTATTTTTTTTAGTCATACATTTTACACATGACAAGAAGATGTTTTTTCTCATACCATTATCTAGCAAGTGAATATCAATGTTTTAATTGTAATGTACAAGATGACTAAAGGTAAAGAATAAAGGTACCCAGCAACCTGTTCTTGACGACGGAGTCAGTTGGTTTATCAAATGATCATATTGTAATGGTGTGGATCATTGTTCGTAACATCAGGCGCTGGATTATCTGGGACAGACTCAATTATTTGCAGGCTGCTGTCACAATGCTGCAGTGAACAAAACACATCACTTGCAGTGATGTATGTTATTTACAGTACATTATATATTGGTACTAATTTGTTTGTCTGATGTTGCAGGTGAGTGCAAAAAACCTCCATCATTGACTTCACTGTCACCATGAAGGGTCTGGAAGACCAGCTCCTGGGCAGAGTTATCCTCACTGAGAAGAGTGTAAGAACACTCATAGAAATGTCTTATGCTGCTGGTATTTAAACACTCTTGAAAATGTTTAGGTGTGCCCTTTAGAATCCAAATTGTACCAATTAGAAGTATAATTTTGATCTATCATCAGATTTTGTAAAAGATAATATGTACTTGTTGCCTTCCTTTTCATTGATAATGATAATCTTCTTAGTATCCTATTCATTTCTGAATCCCAAAATTCATTTTGTGCATTAAGTGTATTCACATGTTTATACCCTACTGTATATAAGAAGTGTAGCATTAGTTAAAAACAAATATCTCTAAGTGTGCTCTTGACAAACATGGAACAAGTTTAACTGTGTTTGTCACAATTCAACACCGTAGAATCTTAATCTGTCATAATTTAGAAAAAATGCAGAGAAATATGTGCACTTGCAATAAAGAGTGTGTGTATCAATTTTAAAGATGTCATGGTACTGAATCTGCCTACTGACGTCCTATTTATGGAGCTTGTGATGCCTGCAGAGGACATAGTTGTGAAGCTGATGATGCCTATAAATAGTGTTGTAATGGAGCTTGTGATGCCTGCAGCTAACATAGTCGTGAAGCTGATGATGGCTTCAGGAAACTTCGAAAGTGATGTAATGGTACCTTACAATAAGCCCTGAACTTGGTTCTCTCAGTTGACTTTAGAGTTTTCATGTGGTCTTTGAGCTTATCATGCCTACAGATCGCATGCTCGTTGATGCTTACAGGTAACATAGACTTTGAAATTGAAAAAAATTCAAATAACATAGTCATGGAGTCAATGGATCCTCCCTTGACTGATATCTTAGCAGACCCTAAAGATGATACGTCGTGAGATATATGCATTGGCTAGAGATAATGTAATTAGAGAATATATATTCCCTTTACAAAGAGTAATCAGGCAAAATAGTGATCCTATTTTGACCATTTATATTGTTTTTTACCACTGTGGTGTTACCTGTTTCTGCTACAGGAACTGGAAGCTGAGCGAGCACAACTCTTGGTTGATGTGACGGCGAACAAACGTAAGATGCAGGAACTGGAGGATAATCTACTGTTCAAGTTAACAAGCACAAAGGTAGCTTTACTTAGTATGCTTAAAACTCAATAAGTAACAAAACAGATATTCCAACTTGTTCTATTGTACCTTGTCTCACATCCTACATGTACAAAAGGACCAGCACACTGGTAGCTGACAACATCCTTTACTTAGTGCTCTGTAAATTCATCTCCCATCCATCATGTACAAAAGGACCAGCACTCAGGTAGCAGACAACATTCTTTACTTAGTGCTCTGTAAGGTCACCTCCCATTCTACATGTACAAGAGGTCCAGGACTCAGGTAGCTGACAACATCCTTTACTTAGTGCTCTGTAAGGTCACCTCCCATTCTACATGTACATGAGGACCAGCACTCAGGTAGCTGACAACATCCTTTACTTAGTGTTCTGTAAGGTCACCTCCCATTCTACATGTACAAGAGGACCAGCACTCAGGTAGCTGACAACATCCTTTACTTAGTGTTCTGTAAGGTCACCTCCCATTCTACATGTACAAGAGGACCAGCACTCAGGTAGCTGACAAACATCCTTTACTTGCTGGTAAAAGTCACTTGCAGTTGCAAGAGGTAAGAAATAAAAAAACCATGTGGCCGAGAGAAATTACAATTTTCACTATTAAATGAAATATTACCAGCTTTAAACTTATGTGAATGAATAAGAGATAGAATGTGCATTGAACCATGAAGGAAACAGGAGCTGGTTAATTAATAAAGTAAATATTTACCGAAGTTTTAGGCACACGCATGGCTTGACTTGCATTCACGGGGAAAACGTGCTTGGATTAGAGTGACCTCCCTTGCCCTACAGATTTTCTACACATACCCAGTGAGGCGAACGTAAAATCACCGAAAACACGATTTGGCGCTTACAAGCTTGATGAGCGGATGCTTTAACCATTAGGCTACCCCATCGCCTGACGAGTTTAAGTCTTTCAGTGGTGCTTATTAATAAGTTGTATCCTACTGGGCTCTCTAGTAGATTATTAGTCTGTCATACAAGTTCTTATAAATGAGTTGTATCCTACAGGGCTTTCTGGTAGATGACAAATCTCTTATATAGGTGTTTCTAAATGAGTTGTGTCCTACTGACTCTCTAGTAGATTATGGGTCTCTCATACAAGTGCTTATGAATGAGTTGCATCCTTCAGGGCTCTCTGGTAGATGATGAGTCTCTCATAGAAGTGCTGTCAGTCACAAAGATCACTGCTGCTGAGGTCAGTGAAAAGCTGACAGTGGCCGCCGAGACGGAAATCAAGATCAATGAAGCTAGAGAAGAATTCAGGCCAGGTTTGCTTATCAATTTCATTTCTTCACCAGCTTCTCCTGCAGTCGAACTGTGATAATATATTTGTGAAGGAATGGAAGTCTCATAGTCTTAGTGATGCCTTTTACATTAGACAAACTGACTTGGCACTAGCTATCATGTGCAAAGTTGTATACTGTCCAAAAAGAGACGCTGACAGAAACCAAAGAGCCATGTGCACCTGTTTTTACAAAATATGATTTTGTATCCAAACCCATGTTCATTTCTTTATGAACAAATAGAACAGTGGGTGACAGTCTGAGCATGGTGTGACATAAAACACATGCAAAATCAGGTCACTTATTCAGCAGCCCATGTATATTGTAAGTGCCAATATGGCAGGGGTGGAAATAACCCATTGCCCGACGTCCGAGTCCAGTGTTTTTTTCTGTCGGGCAAGCACATTTGTATATCACACTGTACCGGTGTCCAGTTGACTTTCCAATGTTTATTATGTTGTTTATTTAAAAAATCAGCAAGAAAACGGTTGGTATAGTGGGAAAATAATCAGGGCAAGTGACTTTACATGTGCCACTGTACCGGAGTACACTAGCAATTTTAAACTTATTTCCACCCCTGTATGGGAAAATCAGGCTTACTGTGTTAGTGACAGCTTGGATCCTATCATATGGTGCAGAATGGTAAATAGCTGGTATTTTCCCAAGTGCAGTGTTAAACAAAAAAACAAAGCATTTATGAGGAATCAAATATTAACTGCAGCATCTCACAGATGTTTGGTAAAAATGTTCTCCTTCCCATCAGAAGCAGATTTAAAAATAATTGAGTGATGACATTTTAGATCTGATGGAGCACCTTTAGAATACAGCACCACAACTTCTCGTGAGGACGATCTCTGCCATAGGTCACGTGTCATTAAGACAAGCAACCACTTATTATGCATTTTCCGCTGTAAAATGTCCTGTGACAGTTGTATCAATGTTTTTTGAATAAAAAGATTGTACAATAAATAAACTCTTTTACTTATTATACGGACCCTACCTCACGGAGTTACCTCCCTTAGCGCATGCGCACCAACTGGGTAGGCTCCTAGACCCGTATCATCATTCCTTCTGCTGTCACGCCCTGAACAGACGCTCGTTGTGATTACCTTTCATGAGCCGCACAGTGAACTGTATTTTAAGATGTCTGAGACACCACCTGTATGTTTGGTTTTTATTTGTCTAAAACAATAACAGTAAAGCCTTTACAGTGGTTGTTTCATAATTGTGACTTTGTATTATTTTATCAAACACGCGAAACTTTCCGTGGTTTACGCAAGTTTGCTCTGCCATGGCGGGAAGTTTAGCGCGTGCGCGTGGTCGTAATATTGCGTTTTAAAACCAACTATTACTTTTCCGTGGTAACCTTCACATTATTTTTCAATGTTTTCTACGTGTTTCTCTGCTTCTGGCCACAAGTTAACTAACATGTTTACGTGTTTGTTTCAGGCTTTACCTGTTGTTCGGTCTGTGGGGAAGTATTCCCCGGCTGACAGTCACTCTAACGCGTGGCCTGTCTGGAGAAGACGGGCCATGTGGCTGATACATGTTCAATTTGTCTGGCCTTTTTCCCGGGCACAGAAGAGGCGGTCGACACCCTGTTTTACCGCTGAGATGCGAGGCGGGGAGGGGACCTGACGCAGGTTCCCCGCCAAAATCTAAACGGCGCCCAAAAGGAAAAAAATCCCGCGGCTCCTTCCCCTCTCCTACCACTTCGAGTGGTTTTGACATGTCTCTAATGGAGTCGATGTTTCAGAAGCAGATGGACTCAATGAAGTCCTTCGCTCGAGTCGGTTGGAGGTCTCCGCCAGGAGTTCCTCGCTCCACTCGGACGGGGGCGGAGAGTCCGGGGTGGGATCGCCCGGGCTCGGCTAGATCCTCAGCCTTGAGGCGTCTGTCGATCCGTTGCCTCTGGCTTCGGGTCGGGACGCTTCGGCTGCCCGAGAGGGAGGTGCTCCCAGTCCCCTCGAGCTTGGCGCTTTGGGCCGTTGAGTATTCCTGGTATTCCGGTCCCTGCGCACACCGCGCCCATGAGAGCCGGAGGCACCAGTTCTGCCTGGCCTGCCTCCTGCGCCTCGGGACCGGGGTCCACGACGCCGGCTGGCGCTGGCGTGGAGCAGTCGGTCTGTTCCTCCCTTCCTGTGGTGCCCAGCGCTTAGGCAGTCCACCGGGTCGGGGTTAGGGTCCTCTTACGGAGGGAGACCCAGCCTCTGACTTCGGGCTCGACGCCGAGGCAATGGAGCTTCGGGAGGTCGAGGAGCATGACGGCAGCTTCGCTTTTGCTTCCGCCTTATGCGGAGGTCCGCAGAGAATTGCCGAGGGCCTACCCCAGGTCAGCGGTGCCTGCTGGTTGCGCGGTGGACTTCGGACTGAGTTCCGCTTGCCTGGTGAGGCGTTTGCCCCTAGGCAACCCTCACAGACGCAGCTCCGCATTCTGCCATCGTTGGTCGCTGGACGTGGGTCGATCCCTCTTGTCTGGTACCCGAGTCAGGTTTGACTTACCTGAACTCGTATTGGCGCTACCAGCTTGGGGAGGATTCTGTTCGTATCGTTCCGATCGTGGACGAGTGTGTTTTCACTTCCATTAAGCCTCTGGGGAGGCTCGGCTTCCTCGGGCAGCTCCGGCCGCTGCTCGGCAAGGGCGCCTCCACCTTTTGCCCTCGCTGAAATCCCCTCATGCACGCTGCACGGACCTACGAGGAGGTCTACCGAACTTAGCGATGCAGCAGGTGCGGGTGGTGGTCCATGAGGCCTCCACTCTCCTCGATACAGAGGTCGGCCCTGGAGGCGGAGGGGCATGCTGGCGACGGTCGCCGCGATGTCGTCGGCTAATCCGTCAGCTGTCGGAAGTTCAGGCTCACCTCGCGACTCTTCTTGCGGTCTGCTGCGTCGACGGTGATGTCGCGCGAGTCATGGGGATGCGCAGGCTGTGGCTGTCGACGTCTAGGTACTCGGGCAGCAACACAGCAGACCTTGCTGGCTCTCCCTTTCTCGCCTGGGGCGACCCTCTTTCCCGGGCACAGCAGGTCATACCGGGAGGCTGCCGCTGCAGCTACCTCCTTCAAGGATTCTAAGGCCTTGTTGGAGCACCCGCTGGGTGTCTCGCAGCTCCGTGCCACCTTCCTCCGCCGGGTGCAGCCTACACCCGAAGTCTGCCGGCTGGCTTCGCCGCTTGGTAGGGGTAGGCGGAGGAGTAGGTCCGCCAAGGGTGGGGGCAAGGAGCAGTCCTCGACTAGCTCCCAGCCTTTTCAGCGGGCGCTGGGAGGTCTGCCCGACCTCCGTTAACCCAACAGGCTGCCGCTCAAGCCGTGTGTCACACCCAGTCAGCTCCGCTACTAGGGTCCACGACGCAGCGACTCCTACCCCATATCAGTGGGAGGTCGCTTCTCTATTCCTGCCGGAATGGGAGAAGGCTACCAACAACGCTTAGGTGCTGGCCACGGTCAGCATAGGCCATCTCCCACTGTGGAAGCGTGGTCCGCCCGACTTCACCGGCATACGACGCACTCCGGTGCCGTCATGCCAAGCCAGGGCGGACATATTGCGCCGCAGTTCAGGCTCTGCTGGACAAGTCCGCGAATCGGCGATTCCACCGGGAGAGGAACAGGCGGGATTTTACTCCACGCATTTTCCTCGTCCCGAAGAAAGAGCGGCGGGTTCCGTCCGATTCTCAACCTCAAGGGGTTGAATCGCATGCTCAGTACCATCCTTCAAGATGGAGACACTGGGCGCCGGTGATCTCATCTGTTCAGCCCGGCGATTGGCTCCGCCAATCGACCTAAAAGGATCGCGTGATCTGCATGTACCCATACATCCCTCGTTCAAGCAGTACCTCGGTTCTCTTCACGACGGGATGTATTACAATTCAGGGTGCTCCCCTTCGGCATATCGACTGCCCTAAGGGTGTTCACCAAGCTCATGTTAGTCCCAGCTACCCTAGCTCGCCAAGCAAGGAAGGCGTTGTTACCCTTACCTAGGCGACTGGTTGCTCGAGCACTAACACAGCCAGCGAAGTCAAGATGCTACTCACACAGTGATAGACATTCTAACTTCGACTGGGGTGGATCATCAACCTCAAGAAATCCGACCTGGTACCCACCCAGGACTTGGTTTTCTTGGGCTGTAGCGATTCAAGCGAACAAGGATCTCGTTTCGCCCAGTAAGCCCGACCGGGTCACCAGAGTTCGGAGATGGTATCTTCATTCCTCTCCCAGCCCCAGGCACCAGCACGGACTTGGCTCCGTCTACTGGACCATATGGCGGCGACGATCTCTGTAGTGTGGCGGGCTGCTGAGGATCGTCCCATACAGCAAGCTTTGGCTGGGCTGTGGACTCACACCGCAGGAGGATCTGAGCGCAGTCTCACAGTCCCCCGAAGTGGTTGACACCTCACCTTCAGTGGGTGGGACAAATGTCGGGAATCTCACCAGGGGTTCCCCTTGGAAATCCCGGCGCCAGCTCTCACAGTTCAGACAGATGCGTCCCTCACGGGCTGGGGGGCGTTCTGGGCAGTCTGTCGGCTTCGGACTCTGGTCCGAAGCGGCTCACTCTTCACATCAGCGTGTTGGAGCTGAGAGCTGTATGCGGTTGAGGTCGAAGGCCAGAGAAAGCATGTCCGTGGCCAGGTAGTCCGTCTTCAGTTAGACAACCAGGCGGCCATGTCGCACATCCTGAAGCAGGAGCCGCGGTGTCCCCAGCGCCCTCCGGGAAGCGTGGGACTTTCTCCTCTGGAGCGACCAGTCACGATTGTCAGGTACTCCCTGTTTATCTCCCCGGGCTGGAGAGAACGTCGCAGCAGATGCGCGCCTCTCGGCCGGATCCTGGCCCCGCGACGAAAGTGGATGCTCGACAGGCAGATATTCACAGTAATCTCCCAGTTGTCGCGGGTCGATTCGAGGTGGATCTGTTTCTGCGTCCCGGGCGCACGACAGACACCCGATGTTCTGCTCTCGGATACCGGACCAGAGGGCTGTTGGCTGCGACGCCTTTCCTGCTGGATTGGACGGGCAAAGTGCTCTGCAACGCTCCCCGCCGTTACCACTCATTCCCCGTGTCCTTTCACAGCTGTCCACCCAGCCAGCTCGGCTACTTGTGCTTACTGGCACCGCTTTGGGCCGTCACAGAGCTGGTTTCCGGTAATTCTCGGGTTTCTGGCTCAGCCTCCTGTTCTATTACCTTTGCGTACCGGACATTCTCACTCCAGAGCGGAGCCCCCACCCAAATCCCACGGATTCAGTGGGTGGCTTGGCCTCTGTCAGGTCTAACCCTCGAGGAGGCACGCTGGAATTCCTGCAGCAGTTGCAGACACAATTCTGGCTTCGGTAGGGATTCGACAAACGTTCAGTATGAGGATAGGTGGTCCCGCTTATGCTGGCTGCTGGTGTTCAGATAGGGGCATTGCAGATCCCTTTTCCGCGGATTTAGTCCGGTATTGGAGTTTTTGCAAGCTCGTTTGGAAGAAGGCCTGGCGGCTTCGACCATTAAATGTGGCTACCTCACCGCTATTTCCACTTTTCACACCCCTGTCGATGGTGCTCTTTCTGGGGGCAGCACCCTCTCGCATAGCTTTTAGCTGGCTGAACGGATTCGACCTGCTCTCAGGCTGAACCAGTCCACCTCTGGGATTTGTCGATCGCGGCTTTCGATTGGCTGTCCGTCCCACTTTCACACCTATCGGCTATTTCCATTCAGTTGTTGACCTGGAAAGCTGTGTTTCTGGTGGCGGTAACATCTGGTCGAAGAGTCGGCGATATACATGCTATATGCGTCCGACCCGGGCGCTGACTGTGTTTCACACGGATCGTGTCAGCATTCACCTCCCAGATACTTACCGACCCGAAGGTCGATCACGCTTCCATGTGACAGCTCCTATCGAACTTCCTACTCTTACCCAGCCTTCCACATCGGGACCACTCCTACGAAGCACTCACCGCTGGATGTCCGTAAGACGCCAAAGTCTATATCAAACGAACGCAGGGGATCGTCACGGGTACCCAGCTGTTCTGTTGTTACGGATGGCGGAAGGCTGGTCTGCCAGCCGCAGCAAGCAAACTTTGTCGCTGGCTTGTTATAATATTTGTGCCGCTTATCAGGCTAAGGGCAAGCCTCCCCTGAGGGGTTGAAGGCTCACTCGGTCAGGGCAGTAGCCGCATCAAAAGCTTTTGCAGCGCACTCCCCATTGAAGAGATCTGCTCTGCCGCTATTTGGAGCCGCCAAGCACTTTTATACGCCATTATCAGCTCGATACACATTCACGCAATCGATGCGAAGCTTTGGTCGCACGTTTCCAGTGGACAGTGTCCTGCCACCCTGACCAAGTGAGTCTTGGTTTATTGGTTTGTGTTGACGCCCTGTACAATGATTCCATTATTGACATGTCTGCTACTGAGCACTCAGAGAACCTGTACCCCCTTCGATTCTCTAAGGAGTTACGAGCATCGCTCGTGAGTGGTATTTTGTTTTCCCCACGGTGCTCTCACGAAGAAGCCACTTAGTGGGTCGGATTTCACTGACATTCAGCACTCACGTGCAATGTCTCATTATGCTAGAGGTCGTCTTTGAGCACAAATCCTCCCTGTCAGTTCCCCTCCCATAATGCCTCTCGAAGCTGCAAACTGGGTCGAAAGTGACAGGTGAGTGTTATGGCGTCTGTTCAATTTTTTTTCCATGATAATGATCGCTATATTTTGTGTGTGCTTGGACAGAATTCCCTCCTCCCTGGCCTCCGGTCTTTGGGAGTCTGTGTTTATGCATAATATGTACCCCAAGGACGATCATCTCTGAAAAGAGCGACCTTTCAAAGGATTGTTAGCTTGACAGCTAACCGACTGAGCTACGCCCACACTGTTGCACAATGTGCAATTTATCAAGTCATTCCTGTGACGTCACGGAAATGAACGGAAAGAGTCGAATAGGTCACGGACAATTACGAAGGTTACGGGTAGACTTGGTGTCTCGTGATTTTAATCTACGGACACCTGCCGAATGGACCCGATGCCATTTGGCACACTCGTCCCATTCCGTAATCTACAAGATAACATGTGGCGTGGAATGAGCCGATATGCCTCAAACTGAAAAGGGTTGTTGACGTCAGGCGTCACACGTAGATTTCACGGTGCATGCATGAATGACGCGCTTTTATATAAATCGGTGATTTTGTGACAGAAAAGTGATGTAGGGAACAGTGTAAGGATAATGTGGATCGCACTAAGGAACGAGGGAGACATGAGCATGTGTAGTGACGGCACGAGGGTTAGTTAGCCTTCGAATCATTACTGAACAAATGTTGCGCGTGAAAGAGGCTTCAGTGCAAATTCCAGGCCAATTTCCATTAGCCCAAAATTCTACATTAAACCATTTCATAGTGTACTTTTGACGTGTTTGGTTTCCTGCTTTTGTGTGAAAAAAAGTATTAAAATGCAAAAGGAAAAACAACAAATGGTATTTACGTATTACACCGGACATGTACCTATTATATTGGATTAGGTCCTTAACCCTAACCCTAACCCTAACCCTAAACCTAAACCCTAAACCCTCAGCCCTAACCCTAACCCTAACCCTAACCCTAATCCCTTGAAATTATCCTAATAAATAGAATGCATTGACTGAACACGCAGTATTAAAATGCAAAAGGAAAAACAACAAATGGTACTCACATTACACCGGACATGTACCTAACCCTAAACCCTGAACCCTAAACCCTAGCCCTAACCCTAACCCCTTGATTAATCCAAATAAATAGAATGCATTGACCGAGCCGGCACAAACATGACTGACGTGTCCAGTGAAATGCATTATTACTGCTTCGAAAATAAAATACTAATAAAAAACTTTCTATGTAATGGTGCAAATTACTGAATGACAAAAATATATATGTAAATTTAAAAAATGCAAAATACAATAATACACAAAACATAACACCTCAGCACCCCGTAATACAAGTAAAATATGAGTGTATTAGTGAAAAAAGAAAAATATTTCAAACTGGTGCTTGCAAAACATTGAGCATCCGCTGGTATACAACTACTGGAAACTCTCAACATTGTTGGGCTTATGCAATGACATAGCTCGTAGAGATGAAACACCAGTGAGCGGAGCTTATACGCACTCGCTGAGCCAGACAACCGTGTTGCCATGCAGGCGTCATAGGGCATTGTTTCGAGAACGTGCTTTCGAACAAAATCACATTACATTACGTAAAAGGGTATTATGACGTATTTTTAAAGTTTGTGTTGCTATATTCTAAAGGTAGGCCGATCTCATCATCTAATGTTTCTGATCGGTCATGTATAGTTGCAGTTGCCATGCATAGATGTTTTTGATTGTTTCAGTGGCGAACAGGGGAAGTAACCTGTACTTCCTGATTTGTGACATGAGTATCATCAACTGCATGTATCAGATCTCCCTCAACCAGTTCCTGGGCATCTTTGACATTTCCATGGCCAGGTCAGTTACAGTTGTTGTTTATCAGCCATTATTCCACCACGTAATAGCAACTGCATGTTCTAGTTTCCTCTCAATCAGTTCTTGGGCATCTTTGATGTTTCAGTGAAGAGGCCAGTAATAATAAAGCACCCAAGCATCATGACATATAATAGCCTTTCCAAACTTTTACATATCACAGCTCTCTTGTTTCATCCTTTCAGATCTGAGAAGAGTCCTGTTCCTTCTAAGAGAATCCACACTATCATTGATTACTTGACGTTTGAAGCCTTTCGTTACACATGCCGTGGGTTGTATGAGGAACACAAATTCCTGTTCACCTTGTTGATGACCCTGAAGATAGATATACAGCATGGCAAAGTGAGAAATGAGGAGTTTCAGACATTCATCAAAGGTAAGCCATACCTGCCTTTGATGTAAAACCACATTTACAGGGTATTTATTTACCATCCTAGTCCATTGCAATTTCACTTTTCTGTCATGATTGAAACTAACCAGTCACCAGTACTGAACTTGCCATGTTGTTGCCAGTACACAAAAAAACTCAGTGTTGTAACTAGAAGAAATCCCTCCCCTGTACATCCCCAACCCTGCCCCTCTATAGCCGGACAGAATTGAAGTCATATAACTTCAGTTAAGTTTCTTGTATGGTCATTTGTAGAAGGCAGTGATTTTAGTGTAATTTCATCAGAACTCAGTTCCAGAAGAGGTATTGTAGTTCGTTGCTGATTTCATGCTCTTGAGTGAGTTAGTGAGTTGGGTTTTACGCTGCTTTTAGCAATATTCCAGCAATATCAAGGTGTGGGACACCAGAAATGGGTTTCACACATTGTAGACATGTGGGGAATCGAACCCGGGTCTTCAGCGTGACCATTAGGCTACCCCACCACCCCTCATGAAAGGTTACTGACAAAAGGGTGTGGTAGTTGGGTTCCATCACATTATGGCTACTGATAAAGGATGGGGTAAATTGAGTCTACCTACAGAAAAATGGACAACTGCGGTTATCATCTATCCTCTGTCCAGATATTCGTGAACAAGGTCTAATGAGAGATGTTATTTTTTATGCAGTATTTTTCCGTATATTCTTTACTTTCACAATAGTCACAAGATGTCAACTTTCCCCTCGATAATATGTTGTCATATGACACAAGCAATGTCATGATTTATTGAATGTTTTGAAATTTAGGGACTTGAAAATATTAACCTTACTGAAAGTATACATGTAAAATTCCTAACAATTCTTTGTTATTTAACACCAAATTTCAAGGCTTGCAGCAAAGAATACTGATATAAAAAGTAAAACAAAACACTCTCAAATACCTATTTTTGTGTAGTTTCTGTTTCATTCAATTTGAGGTAATTATGAAAGTAATCATGCCAGTCACAACTTACTTAATCACCGATAGTGCACAGTACCATGTGTCAATGTGATTGCGTGTTCCAGTTTGTCATCAGGGAAAATTACACATAACAACATTGATTACTGCGTCTAATAAATGCTAACTGTAACAGGATTTTTTTAAATTTGTCACCTATTACATATCATTATGTGGACAGAAAGTCTTCTGAACTGAAGTTTACCTCACTTGATGTAAGACCAATCCCTGTTTGTTTACAGCGATTACTGTTCTAAAAGTTGTAATTGATTGTTGAAAGGTGGGGCTGCTCTTAATCTAAATGCTGTTCAGCCCAAGCCCTGCAAGTGGATATCTGACATGACATGGCTAAACCTGGTGCAGCTAAGTTCCCTACAGCAGTTCTCTGAGATTCTTAATCAGGTGCGTCTAATTACTAAATCTGTCACAACATGGGGGTGTTATTAGAACATGCATGTATTCACTTTTCATGCACAAATGGGCACCAGACAGAAGAGTAGCTAAGCAATGGGAACAATTTGTGTATATACTGAAGATGCACAAAGATGTATTATTGTGAAGAGACAATCATGCAATCAAGGAACATTTTACCAGATAATTTGAAATATAGTTTGTTGTTTGGCACCAATGATCATATTATCTTTTGCCAATTTTTTGTTTGCCACAATTGGATTATAGTGTTCACATAATAAAATCAATAATAAACTACTATGCCACTTATATATAGAACAGAATGATAGACAGACAGAAGTCATGACTCCCCTGTCATTCACTCCAGGCAGTAGGGTCAGTGGACCAGGAGCTCTGTCACAGTATTCAACCCATTTGATACAGGGTATATCTCTGTCAAATCTATTTTAGAGACACAGGTACATTAGTGGTCCCTAGCAACAAATGCTGTGTGAACATGATAGATCAGGTGATCAGGTTCAATGACTTTGGTGATATACCCAGACAGCATGGATCGTTGCTCATAATATTAATGATTACTTTGTATGGTCAAGATTACTTACAGGCTACCGTCATTTAGCTGGAGTTGTTGGACTATGTGTGTTAAACAACAAACGAACTAATTATTATTTTTCCAGGTTCCAAGGAATGAAAAAGGCTGGAAGTCTTGGTTTGACTCTGACACTCCTGAGGAAGAGCAGATGCCTGATGGCTACAGCTCCTCACTAGATGCCTTCCGTAAACTGATGCTCATAAGGTATGTTCCACATATATTGACATCTTGTAACTTGCAGGCCAATAGTGGCATGCACATTATTAATCATTCAACATTCAAACATTCAAATCCTGTTTAAATAAAACATGGAGATCCTGCCTTTGAGACATCTGGACCACATCTGTGGAATAATTTACCACCGGAACTCCGATCAACAAATGAACTAAGCTCTTTTCAATCATTTCTGAAAACCCCTTTGTTCAGCAAAGCCTACAAGTACTAATCAGTGCCAATGACTCAACAAGCTATTGAACAGCCCTTTATCGCAGGATATCTACACTAAATAAGTGTATAATTTTAATTGATTGACTAGACTCTTACGTTACGAAAACATGGTAATAACATGTGTTTAGGTAGGTTGTAAAGCACCAGGGTACTTTGGGCTATCATGGTAGTTAACGTATTATCAAATGTATGGTGTCTTGTTAACTTAACAGACCTGTCATACAATATTGTGATTTTGTTTTTGTTACACATTTTTGACATTTGCTGGTTTGGTAAGTGAGATCCTCAGCCATATTTGACAATACGATCAACTCATTGTTATTGTTATATGTACATGGAATATATGCTTTTATCACTTCCTGTTATGAAATCTGAATCATCATTATGTAGAAGACCTAGGTTAGGTTAACAAAGTTGAGATAATCCAAACGAGGGATATTTTCTAACCAGTTTCAAATGGAAGTAGAACAGGACACATACAACTGTCAAATGAAACAAATTCATTCACCAAATTTGATTTTGGATATATCATTATAATTTTGATTCTCATGACATTGTGATTGTAGGTCGTGGTGTCCAGATCGTACCATTGCCCAAGCCAGGAAGTATGTGAGTGATTCAATGGGAGCCCGGTATGCTGAGTCTGTGATACTGAACCTAGAGGCTACGTGGGGGGAGAGCGAACCCTCCGTCCCCCTCATTTGCCTCCTATCCATGGGCTCTGATCCAACTAACCAGATCGAGTACCTGGCAAAGAAGCTGCAAGTTGGTGAGTGAAGTGTCTCCCTATCCTAACTATGTAACTGTACCTTGTAGTGATATCATGAAAACAAATTCTTCACCAGATCATGTTTATTGTAATAATCATCTAAGAAATCAGTTAAGCAACAAAGTAGAAACTTCACAAATTTGTTCTCACTAACAATGTCTACTGAAAGTGTTCAAGAGGTTGTGAAAAAGCTATTTATGGGATTACTTTTACAAGTTTTTGCTCAAAGCTTCATAAAAAAAATATAATTAGAAGTAAAGCTTTCCATATGTGTTCACTCTGTTTTAAATTTTAACCTTGTTTAGACAAGTGCACTTTACCCATATGAATATGTGGTCATTTCTCTGCCATTTTGTTTCAAAATGTACTGGTATTTGTCATATGTGTAGTTCTTGGGACCCAACACATACACATGTTGTTTTGGAATGTTTGAGCTTTGAACTGTCTTACACCTTTGCACCATGCTCTTAAATTATCACAAACTGCATTTCCTGTTACTGTAAACATATTTTACTCAGATAATACTGTAACAATGAAGCAGAATCTTCATATGCTACAGACAAAAACACCTGAATCTATTCAAGAAATCTGAAAAAGCTATTTATTGCCTACTCTGCCATTTGGTGCAGGTAATAGTAGGGTGTATTCCATATTCTTTAACCTCCTGTAATTGGCTGACCGAGGGAACTGAATTTTGGAATGCATGTTTCTCCCTATGATGTCATTGTTGTGTGGTATGTTAGATTTCAGTATATTTTGGCTTTTGAGTATCATTTCAGGGATTAACTTTTGTTCATTGTCTGTGCTTATTTAAAGTGCTTACTATGGATCTTGTGCAACAAAGCCATGACACAATATAAGCAAAGTCTTGAGTCTTGAAGCTTATATGTAAAAGAAGAAAAGGTGTTATTTTGGGAACATGGGAGGGGTCACTCTGTATTTTATCATGTATATTAAGCCAAAGCATAAAGCTTAATAACATGCAGGAAGCTATGTCATCATTGTAATTCTTGGGAAAGACAGACAGAGCCATGTAGATCACAGTGGTCAACCCTGGACTATTTTTGAGGAGAGTCCAGAAGACTCATGAAAAAATGTGCCAGGGTAAATACCTTAATATAGAAAATACTTCCACGCTGTTTTTAGAAAATTGTCTCAGGTTTGTTTAGTGATAACATTTGAGATAATTTTGGTTCGGACCATATATTTTGTTAAATTTCAGATTTCCGTGCCATTTCAATGGGACAGGGTCAAGAGGTTCATGCCAGGAAGCTTGTCAATCAATTCATGCAGAATGTACGTTAAAGATCTCTGTCTGAGTTATCTTTACATAGAGAATTCCAAAGTCAAATGTGTGAAGTGAATAAGTTCCCACAGATGATTTTGTGGAAGACTGGCCATGGATATCGCCATTGATATCAAGCTCAAGTGTTCCATCATCTGGCTCTGATAAACAAATGGACAGTATATGGGGATGTATTTTGTTTAGTTAAAAATGTCAATAAAAATTCCCAATTTGGAGTTAATAAGTTCCTTATTCATGATCTCTATATTATAAATAATAACTTGCATGGCATTGTAGAGGTAACCTGTATTTCGCTGATAACAAGACTATAATATATAGGAAGGGGTGTAAATACTTAGTCTTATGGTATTGCATTGAATGCAAAATGAGAAATTTAAGAACATCCAAAGTTGGACCATGTTTTTGCAGTTTGCCTGCCAGAGCAGCTAGTTTTGAATCCTGTATAAAATCATGGAATTGTTATGTAATCATTCTAGCCACACGCATTCAGAATAGTTTTCCCCGACAAATAACCTACCATGTTCTTGTTGTGTTTAGGGTGGCTGGGCATTGCTTCAGAACTGTCACTTGGGATTGGGCTTTATGGAGGAACTGATTGACATCTTGGCTGAGGCAACTCAGATGCATGAGCAGTTCCGTGTGTGGATTACAACTGAAGTACACCCTCACTTCCCAATCAGTTTGTTGCAGGTAATGTTATATTACACAAATATACTGATATTGAAATCTGTCCACGGTTGGTAACTAATTGAGCACCAACTGTAGCTTCATTGAAATTAATTGTACCTTGGGCAGATTTGTCCGGCTAAGGACACCTTTAACTGTAGGCAAAGTTGTTCTAGCCAGGGCTACCTTCAAGACCATGCAAAACTGTTCTTTCTTAGGACATCTTTAGTACTTGGCAAACATGTTCCAGCTTAGGATACCTTCAACACTGGGCATTCTTTTTCATAGAGATCGTTTTTGGGGTACATATATGCATTTTCTGCGCTGAAAATATCCTGTGACAGTTGCATCAATGTTTTAATAAAAATATTGTACAATAAATAAAATCTTTTTTATCTATTATACGGCCCCCATCCCGTGGAGTTACCTCCCGCTACTCATGCGCAGCCAACCAGGTAAGCACCTAGGCCCATATCATCATTCCTTCTGCTGTCACTCCACTGAACGGATGTGTAGAGTTGAGCTGAATACCTTGTCTACGAAAGAGATAAAGAGAATAATGTCTGAGACACCACCACCTGTATGTATGGTCTTTATTTTGTCCTTGAACGGAACAGTAAGACTTTTGCGGTCGGTTTTCTCATAATTGTGACTTTGTATTAAATTTTTACGCTAGCTTTCCCGTGGTTTACGCACATGTTGCTTTGCCATGGCGGGAAGTTTAGCGTGCCACGTGGTTGTCATATTGCGTTTTAAACAAGTATTTCTTCCCGTGGTCGCATTCATGTAATTTTCAATGTTTTGTACGTGTATATTTATGCTGCTGGCTCCGCTGTTAGCTACATGCTTGCATGTTTGCTTTCAGGCGTTTTCCGGATGTTCTGTCTGCGGACAGAGCATTCCTAGAGCGGACAAGCACGACAAGTGCTTAATTTGTCTTGAGAAAGTCGGCCATAATCCCGACATTTGTGAGCTGTGCATGGGCTTCTCCCCCTGGGCCCAGCGGATTTTCTCTTTTATAGAGAACTGAGAGAGGTGGGAGGGGAACTGACCCAGGAGGTCCCCCCATCTAAAGCCAAAAAAGCTAAAGCAGGCAAAAAAGCTAAATCGCATAAGGCGCCTACTCCTTCACCCAGCGGTTTTGACATGTCCGTAATAACACAGCTTTTTCAGCAGCACATGGACTCAGTGAAGTCCCTTGTTCATGAGTCGGTTGGAGGTCTCCGGCAGGAGTTCCTCGCCCACTCTGAGCAGGGGACGGAGAGTCCGGGGGTGGGATCGCCGAGCCCGGCTCGATCCCTTGGCCTGGAGGCGTCTGTAGATCCGTTGCCTCTGGCTTTGGGTCCGGACGCCTTGGCTACCCCGGAGGGGGAGGGTTCGCTCCCAGTCCCCCTCTCGGTGTTGGCGCAGGGTCCGTTGAGGATTCCTGGTATTCCTCCTGCGTCTCGGGACCGGGGTTCGAGTGTGGTGTAGGGTGCTGAAGCGGGGAGTTCCTTCGGCTCTTCCCTTCCCTCTGTGTCTGGTGCTAGGCCTCCCACCAGGTCGGGGTTCGGATCCTCTTCGCGAGGAGACCCAGCCTCTGACTCAGGCTCGGGTGCCGAGTCCATGGACGTTGGGGAGGTCGAGGAGCCGGAGGGCGCTTTCCGTTTATCGACGGCTCTGCGGGAGGTACGGCAACGTATTGCTCAGTTTATCCCCCAGGCTGCGGTACCTACCAGCCGCTCGGACTCGTCTGAGTTCCACCTGCCGGGCGAGGCGTTTGCCCCTCTCCTGGTTGGGACACGCCTCCGGTTCGACTTGCCCGAACTTGTCAAGAGGTACCAGCTGGGGGACGATTCCCTGTTCTTTGTACCAGTTGTCGATGAGTGTGTGTTTACTTCGGTCGCCCTTGGGGGAGGCTCCGCTTCCTCCGGTGCAGCCCCGGCTGCCAGGCAAGGGCGTTTAGTGCCACCGTTTGCCCTTGCGGGCGCCCCCCTGCAGCAGGCTTACCAGACCTACGAGGAAGTCTGCCGGAATGCCATGCAGCAGGTGCGGGTGGTCATCCACGAGGCCTGCCTCTCCTCGATTCAGAGGTCGGCCCTGGAGGCTGAGGGGAACGCTGGGGACGTCTCCCCGCATGTTGTTCTCTTACACCAACTATCCGAAGTTCAGGCCCACCTTGCGGTCAGCGAAGTCTACGGTGATGTGCGCAGTCATGGGGATGCGCAAGCTGTGGCTGTCGACATCTCGCTACTCGTCAGCTACACAGCAGACCTTGCTGGCCCTTCCCTTCCATCTGGGAGCGACGTTGTTTCCTTGGGCTCAGCAGGTCATACGGGAGGCTGCTGCTGCAGCTACCTCCTTCAAGGATTCTAAGGCCTTGTTGGAGCACCCGTGGGCTTCTCGGCCCCGCGCTCCCGTTCGGCTTACTCCTCCGGGGTGCAGCCTCAACCCGAGTCTGCCGGCTGGCTTCGGCCGCTGGGCAGGGGTAGGCGGAGGACCCGTCCCGCCAAGGGTAAGGGCAAGGAGCAGTCCTCTTTATCTGGCTCCCAGGCTTTTCGCGGGCGCGGGAGGTCTGCCGCGACCTCCCGTTAACCCAACAGGCTGTCGCTGTGGGTCCGTCCCAGTCAGTTCAGCTACTCGGGACCACTCACGCTTTCTTACCACACGTCCCAGTGGGGGGCCGCCTCTCTCTATTCCTGCCGGAGTGGGAGAAGGCTACCAGCAACACTTGGGTGCTTTCCACCTTCAGTGTCGGCCATCTACTACTGTGGAAGCGAGGCCCGCCAGAATTCACTGGCATACTGCGCGATGAGGTTCAGGCTTTGCTGGACAAGTCCGCAATAAAGCGCATACCACCGGACGAGGAACAGGCAGGATTTTATTCCACGTACTTCCTCGTTCCGAAGAAAGACGGCGGGTTCCGTCCGATTCTCAACCTCAAGGGGTTGAATCGCATGCTAGAGGTTCCATCCTTCAAGATGGAGACACTTCGCTCGGTGATCTCCTCTGTTCAGCCCGCCGATTGGCTCACGTCGATCGACCTAAAGGATTCGTATCTACATGTGCCCATTCATCCATCGTTCAAGCAGTACCTCCGGTTCTCTTATGACGGGATGAATTACCAATTCACGGTGCTCCCCTTCGGCATATCCACTGCCCCCAGGGTGTTCACCAAGCTCATGTTAGTGCCAGCTACCCTCGCTCGATCGCAAGGAAGGCGTTGTTACCCTTACCTCGACGACTGGTTGCTCAGCGCGCTAACTCAGCCAGCGAGCCTAGATTCTACTCACACAGTGATAGACATTCTAGTTCGACTGGGGTGGATCATAAACCTCAAGAAATCCAACCTGGTACCCACCCAGGACTTGGTTTTTCTCGGGGCGCGGTTCCAAACTCACAAGGATCTTGTCTCCTTGTCGCCCGACCGGGTCACCAGAGTACGGAAGATGGTGTCTTCATTCCTCTCCCAGCCCCAGGCACCAGCGCGGACTTGGCTCCGTCTACAGGGCCATATGGCGGCGACTATCTCTGTTGTGTGGCGGGCGCGGTTGAGGATGCGCCCTATACAGCAAGCTTTGGCGAGTCTGTGGGCTCACTCGGAATACCTGGAGCGGAGTCTCACAGTCCCCGGGTGGTTGTCTCCTCACCTTCAGTGGTGGACCAATGTCTGGAATCTCTCCAAGGGGGTCCCTTTGGAAATCCCGACGCCAGCTCTTATAGTTCAAACCGATGCGTCCCTCACGGGCTGGGGGGGATGTTCTGGGCAGTCTGTCGGTGTCTGGATTCTGGTCCGAAGCTGAAGCCCGCCTTCACATCAACGTCTTGGAACTGAAAGCTGTGCGGTTGGTTTTCGAGCGCTTCCGGGAGCATGTCCAGGGCCAGGTGGTTCGTCTTCAGTTGGACAACCGTACGGCCATGACTTACATCCTGAAGCAAGGCAGCACGGTGTCCCTAGCGCTCCTTCGGGAGACGTGGGAGTTTCTCCTCTGGTGTGACCAGTGTGACTGTCAGGTGCTCCCTGTTTATCTCCCGGGCCTGGAGAACGTGCGAGCAGACGCTCTCTCTCACCGGATCCTGGCCCCGCACAAGTGGGCAAGGGCAAGCCTCCCCCTGAGGGGTTGAAGGCTCACTCGGTCAGGGCAGTAGCCACCTCAAAAGCTTTTGCATCGGCACTACCCATGGAAGAGATATGCTCTGCCGCTATTTGGAGCCGGCCTAGCACTTTTATCAGGCACTGTCAGCTCGATACACATTCACGTGATCGTGCGCGCTTTGGCCGTTCTGTTCTCTCCAGTGGACAGTGTCCTGCCACCCTGACTGAGTGAGTCTTGGTTATCTGGTTTAGCTGACGCTGCTTTCAATTGTGTTTTATTGATTTAACTCCTTCGATTCTCTACGGAGATTATGGTCGGTTGTGAGTGTTTTTTCCCCCGTATGGTGCTCTCTAATAGACCATGAGGTGGGTGGGGTTGTTTGCTTTCGCACTTGGTGCGATCTGATTATGCTTAACCTACGAGGTCGACTCTCAGTACGTTTCCTCCCTGTCGGTTACCCTCCCATCATGCCTCTCGCGGAAGCTCTGGGACACGTGACAGGTGAGTGTTGTGGCGTCTGTTACATTATTCTTAACGATCGCTATTCATGTGTACTTTGACAGAATTCCCTCCTCCCTGGCCTCCGGTCTTTGGGAGTCTGTGTTTATGCATATATGTACCCCAAGGACGATCTCTATGAAAAAGAATTAAACAAACCTGTAGAGGTTTTCAATTCTTTGAAGAGAATCGTCCTTGGGGTAGGGCCGCCCGCCTCCCCGCAATTCTGTTCACTGATTTATTCAGCAGAAGGAATGATGATACGGGCCTAGGTGCTTACCTGGTTGGCTGCCATGCGTAGCGGGAGGTAACTCCACATAGATAAAAAAGATTTTATTTATTGTACAATATTTTTATTAAAACATTGATACAACTGTCACAGGACATTTTCAGCGCAGAAAATGCATATATGTACCCCAAGGACGATTCTCTTCAAAGAATTGAAAACCTCTACAGGTTTGTTTAAATTCTGCCATAGGACACCTTTAAAAGTAGTCAGGCGGCCTGAGCCATAGGACATGTTTGACATTCGACAACTTTGTTCAAGCAAGTGTCAATATATATGACTCATAATGTGAACCTTCTCCGCTGACAACATAAAATATTGTTTGCAATTTTGGTAGAAACAGTTGTAATAAAAATTCATCCATCCCTTCACATTGCATTGACAGCTCTCAATCAAGTTCACCAATGAGCCTCCACAGGGTATCAAGGCTGGCTTGAAGAGAACTTATGCTGGTATCACTCAAGACTTCCTTGATGTGTCTAGTCTTCCTCAGTGGAAACCCATTCTCTATGGCGTGTCTTTCCTTCACACTGTTGTACAGGTAATATGTTTTTGCTCATTAAGGAATCTAGCTGTATAACTGGGTAGTTGCCATAACCCATACAACCTGGAATCAATCACACTCCAATATGTTTGATAATGAAGTCACTCATGAAATTTATGCACTGAGATTCCATGCCCTTACAAGATAGAATTAATTATCTCATATATTTGAGTGGGGTACGAGTAATCTCCTTGACTTGGAGTAGATTGTAATAAAAAGTATTATTGCATATAAATTGGTTCTAATGTAATTGTACAATTCTTATCGGACATTCACAAAAATGTGTACTGTTAGATCTATTAGAATAACTTATGGAATATGGAATATGTAAAACTGTAATAGAATTACTTTTGCCTTTACAGCATGTCCAACTCAGAGTTTTAACATATTCCATATCATCCATGAATATAATTAGAGTTAATTTAAGTCTATAAGACATTCTAATGTTATAAAAAGCAAAACATCACTTCAATCAGTGGATAACTATTGTATGTGCAAATATGAACAACTGTGCTTCATTAGGCAATATTTGGACTTGCTTGCTGGTGCATCAGCACCCGATGGATTTTTGAACGCAGAGATATTCTGTGAAAGTATGTCCTGAGGTCAGGATGTGAGATTTACAGGCTAATGTGAAAGTAATCTTGTTAATCCTTGAATTCCTGTACAAAATATTTAATTGAAAATAGTCTATCAGTATCTTAATCATACAAGCTGATTCATCACTTTGCGCTTTTGGTCACACATTAGGCACATAATCAGCAGTTGATGTGACAATATGGTAAGGGGTAGGGATGTTATTGAAAGAAATAATTTGTCCTCAGGGATTACAAAATGACTTGCTGGATGCTCCAAACAGCATGGTTTGTTTAAAATGAACTTGTTTTGCTCCTAGTCGATGACATATGGTTGGTCCTGAAGTCACTTGTCTGTATGATGGTGTTCAAGAGGACCTTCAAAATCTGTCATTTCTGTATTTAAGTGGCATTGTAGATGTTGTAACAAAGAAAACAGCCATCTTTCAATTCAACATTATGGCACGGAACCTGCTATGTTTATCATACAAGTAATTAACAACTGAGTCGAAAATGGTTCCATATGTAGAGCTATATTGCATTATCAATGATGAAAAACACAAAAACCAAAAATTGATGAGAAAGTGACAGAAGCGATGAAGTCTGACAATGTGCTGTTAATGATGACGCCTGGGGATGATGCCTGTAGCAATGGTTGATGCAACATGTGATATAGTTACATTGTGTCATTCTGGTTCTGGAGATGATAGTAGGCTGTGGGATGAAGTAGCCTTGGTCACTGTTGATGGCTGTCTTGAATCATTTGATGTATATATCTTCTATGAGTATTCTGAGGTTTCTCATGATGTTCTTTTTAATGCTAGAGCCAAAGTCAATGAGGCATGTCCACTGGATGTAGGTACTGTAGCACTGAAAAATTCTAGCTGTAGGACTAGTGACAGTTACATGATTTACCGTATATTACCGTCCATAAGCCGACCCCATAGATAAGCCAACTCTCAAACTTGACCCTTAAAATCAGTGTCAAAATTGTATGTTTCGTACATAAGCCGACCCCCCGTGATGGGGTCCTAATCCAGGCAAACACAGACCACAGACAACTGGCAGTTAACAATAATTATAACTTTGGTCCACATTATTCAAAGAATTCACAATCATATTGCGTCTACTCACGCATCGAAATAAGTGTAGTTGACAGAAAATGGATAATATATTTTGTTTCGCTAAATATCATGTTTATTGTAGTTGGATGATCACATGTCAACAAACTGGCTTGCTTATTTTACCCAATTCAGCAATCACGAACTTATTACCGCCTCGTTTTCCATGGACTGCTAGGTTACAGTAACATCGGTAAAAATGTGTGAATTTAAATGGCTTGCTTATTTTACCCCATTCCATGTGCGTACAACTTCCGCTTACCACGTTCGTGAGGGTCCGTATAATCGTAGTGTTGATTATATATATTTTACGTTTAGGGACTGTTCATAATTTATTGCTAAGGGGGGTGATGATGATTTTTATGGAGCAGCATGTACAATGTGAATGACCCCCCCTAAAATTTATGTACAAAGTAAGTGACCCCCCTGCATGTCATGTTCAAAATCAATGACCCCCCTTCCCCTTCGCATATGTTTAAGGCATAATTTTAAAATATTTTTATGTACAAAATTGCGGATCCCCCCTAGAACATGTGTACAAAATTGATAACACCCCTACCTCCCATGAACAAAATGGGTTACCCCCCTTAAAATCATCATCACCCCACTAGCCATACATTATGAAAGGACCCTTATAGAGCAAAAACTGTAATTAAAATTACACATTGCTAGGATATATTTCTTTTGGTTAAAATAAATAATAGCACTCTGTACTATATTTTACTGATGACTGCGTCAGAATTCATCCCGTTATATTATTGTGCATGTTTGAACTTGATCGCCGGGAAACGTGCACATTGCTATTTCTGGCTCAGATACACACGGTAATCTTAATCCCTGCAAATAATGATGTTTAATTGCAAATTTGATGTCTTTACTGACAAAGTTGTCTTCTGTTGTTTGTTCACGCGAAGTGATACAATGTTGTTTTCTTACCCCTGGAAAAAAGTTTGACAAAAGCGTAACTCATAGATGAGCCGACCCCCCTGCTACAGACTGCTTCTTTTTATCCTCAAAATTCGGCTTATAGAAGGTAATATACGGTATACTTCTTCAGGAAAGAAGAAAGTTTGGTCCACTAGGTTGGAATATACCATACGAGTTCAACACAGCTGACTGGACAGCGAGTGTGCAGTTTGTACAGAATCATCTGGATGATATTGACATCAGAAAGGTAGGAGAAAATAGAGCATAAATATTCAGTAAACTATTGCTGTAACAAGTCCCTTTGATCTTTAGAATTATCATCCCTTGGGAGTTGTTTGTAGTCACATGTTGAAAAGTGTGACTTAAGGTGTCATCTGAAATTTAATGTTTCTTAACTTGACACTGAGTCAGTTATAACTGACATATGCATGCTTGTATGTGTGTCATTGCAGTGTTTCTCATGGACCACTCTACATGAGGTCAGTTATAACTGACATAAACATGCCTGTATGTTTGTCACTTCAGGGTGTCTCATGGACCACTCTCCGCTACATGCTAGGAGAGGTGCAGTATGGAGGCAGAGTCACTGATGACTACGACAAGAGACTACTCAACACTTTTGCCAGAGTAAGTGCAACTGTTTCAAAATTAATCTGTCAGTATGAACCTTTCATGACTTTATTGATTGCATTAAAACATTCTTAGCACAAAACTAATTACAGATATACTTTTCCAAAACAGAGAAAGGGTCCGTTTTCAATTTGTCAGCTGTAATGAAAATAATTCCTTATCAATTTTGTTATCTGTGTATGTTTGCATATATAGTATTTATAGTATTCTGCTGCATAAAGATTAAAAAAAACCCTACTAAATCAAGATTAGTGAACTAAGAGGGAACATTACTATAAATAGAAACTGCCTTTGCTTATTTCAGTCATTAGTAAATTGTTGTTGGTGATCTGCTTTTAGGTTTGGTTTGGAGACTTCATGTTCACAGCTGCTTTCCAGTTCTATCATGGCTACAAGATCCCCTCCTTACGAACAATTGAGGACATCATGGGCTTCATAGAGAATCTTCCTTTGGTGGACTCCCCTGAAGCTTTTGGTCTACATGGTAACGCTGACATCACGTAAGTTGTCAACCAGGCTGTATAGATCAGGGCCCCTATTCTCAAAAAGGATCCTAGCCCTAGGATATCCTAACTTTGATCCTAGGGTCTAGGATAGGTGTCCTACCTTATTCTCAAAAAGTATCCTAGCGCTAGGATAACCTAACGTAGGACAAATACTAGGATAGGTTCTGACTTGTCCTAAATCTATCTTAGTGGAAGTCAACATAGTGTGGTTTTTGTTTGTTCACCAATTTTGATGTCAAACAAAATAACTCGCCTACATTACATTTGAATTTACAACAGCACACAGTTTGATGTGTTACAAAGAGTTTTTTGAGTTCATTTTATCAATTTAATGGTAATGAATAGACACACTTGTTGCAATGCACATATTCTTTAGATCTACAAAAGAGATTTGTTCAATTCTTACCTATTCTCGGCCTTTTTAATCATAACATTGCTCTTTTCAGTCACATTGCCGTGAAATGTCAATGTCAAGGCCAACTTAATAGGGGAAGTAACTCCTGTTTATTTCCTAGGTGAATTTTGCAGTTAGTGAGATGACGCATAATGAGAGTTCAAGTCATGATTTTCATTAAAAAATAAATACAATGAAAATATTTTTTGCACATATCTTTAATATCCTTATTGTTTTTTTGGCAGACTTTCAAATTGAAGTAAAATTGTTATCGCCTTGTCAAAAAATGAATTTTCAAAAACTCCCAAACTCCTATGAATGATGTGATGAAAATATCAAATAATTTCTTCTAGACCTACTAAGTCCATCAAAAGCTGAATTTCCTTATGTTATGGGGTTTTTTTTTATGGAATGATTCATGGGTAATATTTAGGGGAATCCCCAACTTAATGAATGTTTTTCTATCTCACCTACTGAAGAGCTCGCTATCCTAGCTAGGATCGGTAGCTCGAGTTAGGACAAGGATAGGATCATTTCTAGAATGGGTCTTATCCTAATGGTAGGATGTCCTAACTTCTGTCTTAACTACTTAGGATCTGTCTTAGCTGGGACACTTTTGAGAATAGGGGCCCAACACTGTATTGTACTGAAAACTTCACAGTGAGATACCAAACTGTACAGGTGAAAGGGAATACAACTGAAATTGTAAATCATCATGTCTGGTTATGTTTTATCACTGTTATTCTGGTTTGTGTTGACCAGCCTGGCCTACATTGGAGATAGTGATGAGTATCCAGTCCAAGCCTACAGGCCAGACCAGGAAGAGTGTTGTGTATTAATCTGTTGTACTGATTTGTGTTGTGCAGATACCAGACCAACCTGGCCAACTCAGTCCTTGAGACAGTGATGAGTATCCAGTCCAAGCCCACGGGCCAGACCAGGAAGAGTGTTGTGTATTAATCTGTTGTACTGATTTGTGTTGTGCAGATACCAGACCAACCTGGCCAACTCAGTCCTTCAGACAGTGATGAGTATCCAGCCAAAAGATACAGGGGGTGGAGGAGGAGAGACCAGGGAGAGTGTTGTGTACAAGCAGGCAGAAGACATGTTGGAAAAACTGCCTCGGAATTATATTCCTCATGAGGTTTGCTTTGAATGGATACTATCATCAGTGATTAATTCATCATCAATATCAGTTGTTACATTAGATATAGATATATTGTTCAATATTGTTATTGTTGCAGATGTCTTCACATCCAGGACAATGTATGTAATGTTTGTATACAGTTAGGATATGCTGCATACTGAGGTAAAGGGGGCATATGTGCTCCAGCCAATCATTGTGTGTAAGCACCGGTTGCCAAGGTTATTCCCCGCAATGCGTTTTGCGGGGGTATTAAAATGGACTCGGTCCATGCGTCCCTGCGTCCGTGCACATTTGTCTTTTCCGGAGCAGAACTGTTCAATGTTTCTTCACCATACTTGGCACTTACATACATCTGGTGGTGTACTGGTGCCTTTTGGTAGTTTTGGAATTCTGAATAAAATATTTTTGGCGTTTCCATGGCAACAAGTTTGACTTAGACTGAAATTGGTGGTAGTGCTCTTTTCGGAGCAGAACTCTAATACCAGTCACTATTTCTTCACCAAACTTGGCACATAGATTGGTCTGGTGGTGTACTGGTGCCTTTTGGTAGTTTTGGATTTCTGAATAAAATATCTTTGCATTTCCATGCCAACAAGTTTGACTTAGACTGAAACTGGTGGTAGTGCTTCTTTCTGGAGCAGAACTTTTAAAACCTTTCAATACTCTCCTTCCACTTTTCTATATGCACGCCAAAACATTTGACATAATCATAACTCGTAGACATATTCATGAAGAGTATTTTGCCATTGTGGGGGATATTGATGACTTTGTCTTCTTGTTTTCTGGGACTCTCAGCTACATATCTTCCCTTTGGATTTCTGTATGGTGGTAAAATGTCTAACACAACCCTTCTCATACATTAAGCTGACACTGAAATACTGACCCTATGTGGCATTGAACTCAACACTCTTACTGTTCCAGGTAAAAGAGCGTCTAAAGAAGATGGGCTTCCTGACTCCATTAATCATCTTTCTGAGACAAGAAATTGACCGCATGCAGAGAGTCATCACTGAAGTGAGAACCACACTGACCGATCTCTCGGCTGGCCATTGAAGGAACCATCATCATGAGTGAGGTATGTAGAACACCTCTGCTCACTGCACACTTACTTTCAGGACTCCGAGATTTTAACTCAGAAAACAAACATGAAATGACTTGAAATTTGTTAAGAGGGATCCAGATAATATTACAAAGCATGGAGTATTTGTTCACATTTAATCTATTTTTTGTGTGTGAATAATAGTTGTCCTTGACCTACAAAACAAGGCTTCCAGATATCCCTAAGCTGATCATTTTAAGGGTCCTTACGTAAAATATGAGGGTCCTATAAAGTAATTATTTGGTGTAGTGTACCGAAACATAAAATTTCATGCATATTTTAATTACTGGAACATGATATTTATTGTCAAGAACTTGGTGAAAAAAAATGTTCTTCCCAATATATATTTTTTGCTGCATCTATTCTGTGCGTACCAGAGGCTTTATCCAGAGTTATCCCTAGACATTCCGTAAGATTTTAAAACCTTGGTTTCTCTCTTTCTAGTGTTTCATATTTAAGTCAATATTGTATCTGGTTACTTCTAATTTGCATCTGTTCATGTGCTAGGCTGCAGGACACTGATATGTATCCATGTCTGTGTTACAGTATGTTCGATATTTATGACTTGTGTATTATTAACATATTCATATTTAAGTAGAGTTTGCTAGCATTGCATCAGTTAATAAGGTTCTGTAAAGAATATGCAAACTGAAAAGGCAGTATTTGGTGATAATGCATAGTGTTGTTAATGTTGTTCATCAGTTTTCCACATTTGTTCACACTTAGCTAAACATGTTTTTTGATATTGGGGGTGTTTTTATCTACCAATATATAAGTTATTCATAAAGCCAGTTGAGTAAATCATAGTGCTCATTTTTGGACTGTAATAATTATAAAGATTTGGTAAAAACAACATACTGTCCCATGGGTTCACTCAGACCTTGAGATTCCTGTGCTTGAATCTGGAAATACTGTGATTTAGCATAGTTTGTGCATGTTAGACGTTCTATTGGGTATGTCAGCTTGTCCAACTTTTAAGTCAGAATATGACATTTATCTTATGAGTAGTCTTGTTATTATTCTTGATGATGATGGCGGGGTCCTGGCGTATATTTTGGCATCAATGCTTAAAAATGTACAGTTATTTTCTGGAAGACTCAAACAGTAAACAGTTACTTTTGTTATTGTAAAACCAGATGCAAGGTATTTCACAATGCACTGGCACCTCATCCCGTTCAAAAATATAAAGTGAAACAGATTTTTTATACTTGATAATGGCAACCAACCATGGATTCTAACATCTCTCTAGAACCTGCGTGATGCCCTGGACAACATGTTCGATGCGCGAGTTCCCAGCTTGTGGAGGAAGATCTCATGGCAGTCCTCCACCCTGGGCTTCTGGTTCACAGAGATGCTGGAGAGGAATGACCAGTTTCATCGGTGGGTGTTCGAGGGCAGGCCCGATGTCTTCTGGATGACAGGATTCTTCAACCCTCAGGGTAAGACACACCCATACAGTACTCCCACTTTGAAGGGCCCTACCATATGTCTATATTTGCTACTTAAACACCAGTGCAAGATAAAATAAACACTTTTTGTGATGACTTATGCTCTTTAAGACGGGGATTTCCTTCTATTTACGAAAATTGATTGAATGAAATTTTGACACACACACTGAGCATTCATTGTAATTCTTTTCAGAAAAGAAATATGATATAGATCATGTATACATGGTTCAGTTTAATTAGTGTCTGTCATTCCAACCATCAAATTTTGCATGCAGTGTAACTTACAGTGAGTATTATTTGTATCCAATCTTAATCTTTATGCACATAGAACAGAATAGTTTGCATCCAGCACAATCTGTACTGAGTTTGAAATTACATTTACAAGTTGATAGACCATGAAGAAAAGAAAAGATTTATTTTCTGCCAGGTATTGTTCTAGGCCTCTTTTAGCAATGTTCATGCAAATATACATTTAGGTCATATGGGAATTTGTCTTCACAAAATGAAGATTCACATTACATATTCTACAAGCAGTTGTCAACATGACAAATTTGGGTGTGGGGTGGCATCACTATGACTAAGTTACAGTATGAACATATTTATTGTCTTCTTAAAGAAAGACAATGCCTGGGCTCACAATACACTGCTCAACTCAAGCACCACTACATCCATAGAATGCCATGACCAGCAATAAGCCCAGATTTCCATGGTTACGCCCACCTCCAAACACTGACTGCAGCATGAAACAGGAAACAATCAAGCTCTCACTCTGGCTGCAGTTACATGTATGCATGTATGCATGTTACAAATAAACACAAGAACCTGTATTTCCTCTAATGTCGTGTGCACAGGTTTCTTGACTGCAATGCGACAGGAGGTGACCCGTGCTCACAAAGGGTGGGCCCTGGATTCTGTCACTCTACATAATGATGTGATGAAGACTTCTAAGGAAGATATAACATCACCCCCTGCTGTGAGTAGAAATAATAATGTATATATATTTAATTTTTTCTTATCCCCTGACTCATGATCTTTTGCTTATCTCCCTTTCCCTTGCGAATGGTAGTGCAACACTTAAATTACTTGAAGTTCCCGAAGCGGACGTAAAAATACACTCACCCACGAGCTACCTCCCTTTTCCTGCGTGAACAGTCATGTGACCAGCCTTACTTGTCACTCTCTCCCTTTTCGCCCAAGTGGATGGTTAGGCGAGCACTGGAGTCCCGTATACGACATTATATCCTTTTTATTTAGGTCCTATTCATCAAAATTATGCTGTGTATGGATTTGGCAATAACTATTATGTATTATATGTATAAAAATTGTAAAAATTATTTGTATTTGTGTCATAATTTCATCGTTATGTAACTTTGTTTACATTTCATGAAATCTTGCAGTGTTTGAAGTCACAGGTTATCCATGGCTGATCCTGACCCATTGTGTCTTATATCTATAGACGTGCCATGGATCGGGTGAGGAAGTCATCTCAAGTCACGGCTGATAAAACAGGAGATCAGCCTGCAAACCATATGTTGATTGCTACTGCGGAGATTCATAATAGTGGTGCTATGTTGAGTACGTTGCAGGGGGCAGTCTGCTGGTACGGGGGCCAAGAAGAGATCGGCTACAACGCAGTTGACTCCGACTCAAGCTAAGAAAAAGACGTCGTCTTCTTCTACGTCGCAGAAGAAAGCATCTGTTACCAGATCGGAGGGTAAATCTACGCGGCCTAGTAAGTCATCAGAAATCCTTCAACGAAGAGATATTACCTCCGCATGAAGTAGACGTTTTTTGATGATCCCCCGTTACTTCTACCCGAAGTACCTACGAGATCGGCGACTCAATCGACTTCCACGACTACTAGATCGTCTTCTGCAACGGTCACAGCAGGCCAGCTGTTTGACGAACTACCACCAACTTCTCAATGGAGTGAAATTGAGGCACACAACTCATCAGCGTGTGCGAACGCTTCTTCTATACCGCAGCAGCTTCAATCAACGCAGAACTTGATCTGGGTGAAATTATGAGACAATTCATCAACAAGATGATGGCTATGATGGAACGGTGGTTCGAGGAAGAAGCGAGGGCTCGGCAAAGCCTCTCATCTACTAACAGCGTGCGCAAACCTACGGACCTGTGCGAACCTACTCCACATAGAACTACGTCTCAAGACTACGTTGGCGAACATACACCTTTGTGAAGGTCTCCACAGTCGGACGACTTTGTCATCTTGGAGGAGGATAGAAGACATGAGATGCCTACTCACAGTTCTACATCTGCGAACCCTCAACGTTCGAGAATATCGAAGCGATTCATCTCCTACACATAGCCGTTCTAGATCGAGATCTCATATCTCTCACAGATGTTCGTGAAGTCACTCATCATGAGACAGAGGTTCGCGAAGAGAAGGCTCACATCACAGAGGTTAGCGAAGGGATACATCTAGCGACAGAGGTTCGAGAAGAGTAGGCTCATGTCACAGAGGTTCGCAAAGAGATGAATTCACAGATAGAGGTTCGCGAAAGGAGGAATCTTCAGTTCGCGAAAGGGATGATCTTCAGTTCGCGAAAGGATGATGGAGATTCGAGAAGGGATACAGGTTCGCAGAAGGATGATTCGCGGAGGCATAGCTCTACCGATCAGGAGATAACTGATGTATAACCAAACTTCGTCTTCCCAGACTCAGAGGTTACAGCTTGGATAGCCAATGGTTTGAACTTGGAGTCTCCTTCTAAGGATATAGATGAAGTCTACACTTATAAGATGAGTAATGACGACTTTGACTTGGTGACTATTCCTCCGATTGAACCTATATCCAAGGTACCTTCTAACCTACGCACAGCTTTGAGAAAGCTGCAGACATCTACAAGGTTTGAGAACTCTCAGATCTACAGGCAGATAACAGCAACGCAGACATCTACAGGGTTCGCGAACCCTAGGGTTAACAAACCCTTACATCAACAGGCAGGATGTTGACTCTATTACCATACTGCTGAATAAAACGAAGCAATGATGAAAACGGATGGTTTTGTCAGAGTTTAAAACTCAACAAAAAGATCTACAACATGTGCGATCTCTACAGTTTACTGCCTGCACAACCCTACAACCTGTACAAACCTTATACCTGTATAGGTTCAGTTTCACTCACTCACTCACTCACTCCAACATACCAGGTAGCAGAGATGGCCTCGCGGATATTGTAGTTCACTATACTCCAACACAATGGCGTACTGCATCTACGCTGATGGCTTCGACTCCAATATGATATCACCTATGAAGCCGATATCTCAAGTACTGGAGAACCTCAAGGCGACCTTTGTAAAGGTCTTAAGGTTAACAACGCCTTCAAGTATCCTTGAACGGACGTACAGATGATATTATTAACACTCGTCACTCAGCGTGGGGATTAGGATTTATATCCTATCAACTAGATTCAACATCTACCAGAAAGTACCAGAATTACTTGCTCTGCTGAGATCTTTTAAACTGGAGGACCAGCAAAAGAAGTTCAGAGCTCCGGCCTGGGATCGAAATGTAATTCTACGTCATCTTACAAGTGATATCTACGAACCTCTAGACCATACTACCTTTGAGCTGCTGACACAGAAGACTCTGTTCTTGCTTGCGCTAGCCACGGCAGCTCGGATATCAGAGATACATGCGCTGGACTTTGGTCGAACCAGATTCGATACGAGGCAACATGCTGCAGTTCATCTAGGACTTAGATGGGACTTCATTGCCAAGAACCAACTACCTGGTCAGCCAGATAGACAGTTCCACGTACCAGCGCTATCTACAATCCTCGGACCAGAGGATATAGAGGACCTATCCTTGTGTCCGGACACAGCCCTGAAGAGATATCTTCAAAAGACTAAGACAAGGAGACAAAAATTCAAGCGCCTGTTCATCCCATTATCCACAGAGACATCAGCAAAAGTCTCAAGAACGACGATATTGTTCGGGATGAGAGCCGTTATATTGAGAGCCTATAAAGCAGCAGGACTAGAACCTCCTAGAGCTTCCAACCCACAAGAAGTCAGAGCACTGGCGTCAACATTGGCTATGCACGGAAATTGCTCTATATGAGCAATTATGGAGGGCTGCTTTTGGAAGTTGGATACAGTGTTTGCTAACCTCGACCTACAAGACAGAGCCACTGAAGACGTCTCAGGCATTCACCAATTGGGCCTCTGGTTGTAGCACAGCAACTAACGGATCCTCAAAGGTGCTGAGTTGGAAAATCTCACACTTTATCACTTTGACTGGTTGATAACTTCTACTAAGGAAAAGTATTAGTTTGAAAGTCCATGCGCAGAGTCTAAGACAGACTAGCATGAGTGATTAAAGATCCTGTACGGGTAAAGATCTTACCTGTATGTGAAGGGGTCGCAACTCATTTATGATAAAGATCTTATCATAATCTATGGGTTGTTATAGATATCTAGTAAAAAGGAGATACTAGTATATCTTAAGCCACAGGAATCAAGATGATTCAACTTGTCTGAGATGGAAGTAAGACAAGAAAGTGGTCCCCCAGAGTTATAACGGAAGTTGGAAGAATAGGATCACGGAAATGCCGTTTCGCAGTTCCCATGGGGGGGGATACAGGACATATCTAAGGACAGCTGATAAATACAGGAAGTGGCTTGACCCACCATCAAACCGTCGGATTCTATAAGCAAAAGATCATGAGTCAGGAAAAAGAAAAAATATGTAATTTTTCAAGTAAAATTGTAAATTTTATTATAAATTGTATATTTATATACTTATCCTATCACACGGTATGCACCTCTTCTCTTCTTCTACGACCATGTGTGGAAACGTGCTGTAGGCTAAGTTGAATCAAATCTAGCTGGCCTCTGACCCGCCCTGACCTCTGCCCTCACTCCGACATCAACACCTGTCAATCATCTCTATAAGCGTGCCGCTCGCTCAGATGATCATGTGACTACCTGTGCCTGTCATTCTCGTCTTGGAGCTTCTAGAAATCTGTGATGTGGGGCAAGTTGGGTGGGTCCTATCGCGTGAGATAGGGTATAAATATACAATTTATAATAAAATTTACAAATTTTTAAACTTATCCTACCTCACGGTATGCACAATCCCACGGTCGTTAGGCAATTTTACTTGAAAAATTACATATTTTTTCTTTTTCCTGACTCATGATCTTTTGCTTATAGAATCCGACAGTTTGATGGTGGGTCAAGCCACTTCCTGTATTTATCAGCTGTCCTTAGATATGTCCTGTATCCCCCCCATGGGAACTGCGAAACGGCATTTCCGTGATCCTATTCTTCCAACTTCCGTTATAACTCTGGGGGACCACTTTCTTGTCTTACTTCCATCTCAGACAAGTTGAATCATCTTGATTCCTGTGGCTTAAGATATACTAGTATCTCCTTTTTACTAGATATCTATAACAACCCATAGATTATGATAAGATCTTTATCATAAATGAGTTGCGACCCCCTTCACATACAGGTAAGATCTTTACCCGTACAGGATCTTTAATCACTCATGCTAGTCTGTCTTAGACTCTGCGCATGGACTTTCAAACTAATACTTTTCCTTAGTAGAAGTTATCAACCAGTCAAAGTGATAAAGTGTGAGATTTTCCAACTCAGCACCTTTGAGGATCCATTAGTTGCTGTGCTACAACGAGAGGCCCAACTGGTGAATGCCTGAGACGTCTTCAGTGGCTCTGTCTTGGAGGTCGAGGTTGGCAAACACCGTATCCAACTTCCAAAAGCAGCCCTCCATAATTGCTGATATAGAGCAATTTCCGTGCATAGCCAATGTTGACGCCAGTGCTCTGACTTCGTGTGGGTATGTTTCTATAGCCAAGCACACGTCCATCTGACACAGCGACAAAAAAGAGAATGACAGGCACAGGTAGTCACATGAGATGATTGACAGGTGTTGATGTCGGAGTGAGGGCAGAGGTCAGGGCGGGTCAGAGGCCAGCAAGATTTGATTCAACTTAACCTACAGCACGTTTCCACACATGGTCGTAGAAGAAGAGAAGAGGTGCATACCGTGAGATAGGATAAGTTTAAAAATTTGATATTTTTATATTTATCCTGACTCATGATGAGAAGCCGTCCCAACCTCCCCGCTGGAAACACTTCGGATTGCACAGCAGATCCAAGTGCTTGGGCAGAAAAACCAGGAGAGAGTGACAAGTATGGTTGGTCACATGACTGTTTACGCAGGAAAAGGGAGGTAACTCGTGGGTGAGTGTATTTTTACGTCCGCTTCGGGAACTTCAAGGGATTCAAGTGTTCCACTACCATGCGCAAGGAAAAGGGAGATAAGCAAAAGATCATGAGTCAGGATAAGTATAAAAATATCAAGTTTACTTGAAAAATTACATTAATGTAGCAAATTCACATCCTGAAGCATACTCAAAGCCTTTTCCCACTTATGATAAACTTAATTTTACCATTCGTCTCTTAGAAACAAAGGGTGTTTCTAAGGAGCTGCGGACTTGGCACTCACATGCATTCAGGGCTTGAATGTGGTTTAGTTGTATCCAACTACTGCTGACTTGTGAATTTACTGTAAACCCACTTTTATCTTCTTGTCTATTTAGGAGGGTGTATATGTGTTTGGGCTGTATCTGGACGGTGCTGGATGGGACAGGAAGAACTGCCGTCTATGTGAGTCAACTGCCAAAGTGCTGTTCACTTCACTGCCTGTGGTACACATGTTTGCCATCAACTCTACAGCTCCCAAGGACCCACGACTCTATCAGTGTCCAATCTACAAGAAACCGCACAGAACAGATCTCACATACATAACCTTCATAGTTCTCAAAACCTCACAGAGTCCAGATCACTGGATTCTTCGGGGTGTTGCTGCACTTTGTGACATCAAGTAAAGTGTCAGATCCACAGTTGTCACTGTTACAAACTTTGGCAACTATGTGTTCAAGATATAGAGTGATATACATCTTATTCTTTGTGTGGCATTCCTAATTCATATTGATGAAGGATTAACTGGTTGTTCTCAAAACTTGCAATATGAGTATTCTCAAAACTTTGGAACTGTAAGTTGTACATATACTGTGATAATATTCAGTTTAAAAAGTCTAAGACTTAACTGTTGGATATTGTTCTGTTGTGCAGTTGCCTATTATTTTGTTAAGGATTTATTTATATATTTAAGGGCATGTTATTGTTCTCAATGTTAATGTTTTGTTGTCTGTTTTACATGAGAATAAATTGGCTTCAATGAAACTGATTCCTTGTGTGTTAAAAAGTCGTGGGGAGCAATTCCTGTGTCCTGTGTTGCATAAAATGTTAATTTCAGGATGCCTGCACATACAATTTTGTGGTTACTACCCAACAAGAAGTCCTTTTATAAAATGTAGCCAGTCTGTTGCCTATATAAAGCAGAGAAATCAAGAATCAAAACACATATAAAGTCATATATATTTTGTAATATACCACAGAAAAAACACTGAACTGCTTCCAGTACAAGTTAAAGAGTAAAGTAATTTCAACCTTCTGCAAGACATCATGGTTAATAGCAGAGCATTCAAATAACCTTCATTTCACGATCTATATCATAGAAAGCAAGCACAGAATGACATGGGGATTCATATCCACAATATACATAGTGGATGTCCACAGCTGGAATAGGCTATCTGTGGTCTAAGGCTGTCAGTTAAAGGGGCACCGATCCAGAGCGATTAATGTTTCCAGCCAAGAGTCTAATTACGAAAACAAGCTGCAGGCTGGTCAGTACCTGCTCCCTCGACCGTGACGGGGACTGAGCTACTGTCCACCTTGGCAGAAATTCTTCAACCTAAACAGTGGGACATTAGGAAGGGTGGATGCCCCGGTACTTCTTGTCTGATTGTAATAAAGTATCCAGCAGTGTAGGCTTTTTCAGATTTTCTAATGCTTGGATGGTATAATGACTGATCCAATTTGATGCTATTTCTGTGATTTTACCTCGATATTTAATCCTGTCGTGTAAATATTTGATGTCTATTAGCTATGCTATGATATTAAAAACACACATTTGATGTATTTGAATCCATAAACTAAGCAACCCCACTTTGCCATTGCTAGAAAAATCTGAAAATTAACTTACTTAAATAGGTATATATAGTTTTTAACTAAGTACACAGCAAATGCGTATATGTATTTCTTATGCAACAATTAAGTTTCGTTCATATCCGCAAAACAGTGTCAGGCAATCAAACTTGCATGCAATACAGTGATTACTACTCACTTGCTGCAACTCTTGTTTGGTGGTAAACCTACACATGCTATTTGTCATCATTCACTTGATGGTCAGTTAATGAATTAATGACAGGTATAATTAGTGGTAACACCACTCAGATTACCCAACAAAGGTTCCCATTTGGCATTTCTCGTGTCTGAGTAAATACTCATCATTATAAATTAAGGTTTGATATGGCAAATGTATTACATCTTATGTAATATGTGGATGGAAATGCAGCAAGAGGAATTATCAGCTGAGTTACAAAAACAAACATCGATGAAAGGATTAACCGATAACACGCTGATTGATTAATTGCTTCCGTCTTGCACAACGGATTTGTCAAAAGGTGGTGTTTATGTGTGTAGATTTACGAATCTATACTGAATACACCCTGTCGTAAGTTTCTGTGTAAAAACAACGTCCTTCCTTCAAAGGATTACCCGCCAATGCATGATGCAATTAGTTGCCATGGCAGGTGTGCTATCTTGGGTGACCAATGGGACTATACACCAATGTGAAAAACCTTAAACGATAGATCACTTTTTTGCATATTAGACTGTTAACAGATACATGACATGGAACAGGATTCTTTGTCAGCTGCAGATGAATGGCATCTCATTCCTTTATGTGGATATTGATGGATACATTCCTCGAACAAGGTAATACCCTGATATTGTTGCTATAACTTTAGTCTGTTTTAATTTTAACATTTGCATTTTGTTTTTATTCATTTGTTATTGCATTCAACAGAATCATTTATTTTCGCCGTGAAGTATAATGAGACAGACAACATACACTAAGTCGCACTTAAGGATCTGCTTATGCTTAGTGAATTTATAACATGACTGTAATATCTAGACATTTTATAGATCGCCAACATGAATCATATTTCACACACACACCCATTTTCATAAGAAATATCAATCTTAGTCCAGTCAAAATGTGACTAAACCTCCCAAAAATTGGTACAGAAATCATTTCAGTGATTTGAACATGTCTGAGTTATAACTAATGTGTACTCCCTTGAAATATGATGCTAAGTCATATTTTGGGGGTAAAAAGTTCAAAAATTGAAATTTTCAGTGAATAATTTTTAAAATCTCACATGGAGACACAAATATACATTTTTATATATATATATATATATATTGAAAGAGAACACAAGATACAACTAATAAATGGGTTAGAAAAGTCAAATAATGTTATGCAAAATCCTATTTTAGGGTGAAAATTTGAAATTTCCAGAGAATATTTTTTATCATCCCATATTGAGACACAAATATACTTTTGATGTATATTTTAACAAAGCACTCAAGGTACTACTAATAAGTGGTCTGGAAAAGTCAAATTGCTTTATGTTTAGTTTTCAGAGAACAGTTTTTTAGATTTCACGTTGAGACAAATGTACTTTCTATGGATATTTTCAAAGAGAACACAAGGTACTGCTAATACATAGGTTAAAAATGTCAAATAAATATATACTAAATCCTATTATGGGGTAAAAAATTGAAAAGTTGAAATTTTCAGAGAATGATTTTAAAAATCGCATTGAGCCTCAAATGTACTTTTATGTGTATATTTTCAAAGAGGACACAAGGAACTACTAATACATGGGCTGGAAAAGTCATATGATTTTAATAAAACCATAGAAAAAAAAGACTTTTCAGAGCACATATTTTCTATTTTCAAGGGTAAAAAATAAAAACAACAGGAACAGGCAATTAAGTTCCTCTTTTGTCTCAAAGTTTAGATTTTTCTGTCAATATGGAGAAGCTGTTCTCATATTTGATAGTACAGATGTCTATTTATTATAGTATAGTAGACAGCTTGTATGTCCATTCAAAGGTAAGTGAGCAAATATAGCTTTGAGTCTTGGATTCAGTTTGATCATAGGCATGGAGGTGACATAACTCAATACTGAGAATGTTACAATCTAGTGATTCATTATATTCTACATTAATTGTTCAAGACATCAAGCAATTTGATTTAGCAAAGTCTGAACAAATTGCAATTGGTCATTAAGGACATTATGAACATCCATCTCTGAACAAATTTTAGGTAAAGGACATATCATCACCACCTCGGCAACCTTGGCAAACAGTCACCTGTTTGGCAGAAACGTCATCATATGCATCTATCCATGCTCTCAGATTGATCTACATCATCTGTTGAACTGAATGAACTGACCTTGTGTATACCCATTTTCGGAAGCGTTGCACTTAGCTCCTACTTCTGTAACTATAGATAGTAATGACTGAACAAGATATTAATTAACATAACAGGTGGCTTAAACTATAGTGATAGTGACCCTGAACACCAAGGGTTTTCAAAGGGGTGACAGAGATACTCTTGGTCTCATAGTGTGTATATTTGAATTCATTTTGAGAATCATGCTTGGTGAGAATGCTATTCCAAGCAAAACTTAACAGTAACAGAAGATATTCTGAGTAAAGGAAGTCCAATAATTTGAAGGGTTGTGTTGTGGCTAACTTGAATATTTGAGATGTGGTTGGGTGAGGTGATTTGGTTCAGTGCTGCTAGCAATAGTTTTCCACTTACCGGTACATCGAATTGTTCATGATTTTATAACAATTATCCACAGTGACATGTTATACCATGGGATATATAGTTATTCCTGTGTCAGTCCGAAATCTTTTCGTTTCCTGATGAAACATTTAAGACGGTTGGTAAACAAGCATGCACCACCTATTATTAAAGCATTTGTCCTTTAGTAATTTCAGTATAATAAATACCGTTACATTTTTTACTGAAGGTAAACAGGACAATACTGGTTGTACTGTCAAAACCTTACTAGAGCTTTTAATAAGTAGTCTAGCACCTGTGAAGGTCCGGGTTAGAATTGATCTTCAGTAAACCATGTTTGTCGAAAGAGGCGACTAACAAGATCGGGTAGTCAGGCTCGCTGACTTCGTGGACACATGTCGTCATATCCCATGCATTGATGATCATGCTGTTGGTCACTGCATTGTCTGGTCGGGACCCAATTATTTAGACTGCCGCTATTATATAGCTGGAATATTGTTGAGTGTGGTGTAAAACTAAACTCACTCACTACAAGGAGCCAATGATTTTTTCCAATTTTAAGAAAGATTTGTATGTTTTTCATTAAAAATATGGGTTATATATCCAGTTTATGTGAATCAATTTCAAACAATTTTCATGTAGATTTCAGTCTGCTTTTTTAAATGTTGCTGAGATTTCTAATCTGATAAAAAAATTACCAGCTATACTATAAATATTTGCTGAGGTTCACTCAATTCTGCTCACATGATAATATTTAGTTGCCAGTTAAAGTTAAAAAACCTTTTGAAATTGTTTTAAAATTAATATATAGCATGGAAAATATAAATGTTATAATATTTTCCTAATCTATAATTTTGTCATATCTTGCTACAAGTTCTCTTAAATCTTGATACAGAATGTCCCATTTATCACGTAGGTGCGTAGTCTTACACGACCGCAGTATATAGTTCTGTGGGCTAATTATGGGAGCAGAATCACCTCAGTCCTCCTCATTATCTCTTTTAGTTGGAGCTTTTAGCTGTCTTTTTAATCCTTTATCTATAGTCCTCATCTAGTTTGAGTTTTATAAAAGATAGAACCTTTTGTTTCCATTCTGCTAGTTCAATCGATTGTAAACAAAGGGGGGATAACTCTCATTTGCACATTTCCTGTGCGCTAGAGCGTAAATCCAAGTTCAAACCTCATGTCATGTTATTTCTTTTCAATTTTAATTGTCAATATTTACTTTTTTGTTCAGTTCAGTTGCATGTTTTGCAACATTTTATACCGTATTCTGGGCTTATTTCAGTTAGAAAAAAATAATTGAAAAATACCATTTTTCACAGTTTTTGCCCCCCAAAAGCCACTTAGCATCAACATCCGAGGGAGGACTTTTTATATATTGTTTAGATAACTATTGTAAATGATATAAACACAAACCCATTTCTGTACCAATTTTTGGGAGGTTCAGTGATTTTTT